GCGTGTGTGTGTGTGCGTGTGTTGTGCGTGTGTGTGCGCGTGTGTGTGCGTGTGTGGTGTGTGCGTGTGTGTGCGTGTGCGTGCGTGTGCGTGTGTGCGCGCGTGTGTGTGCGTGTGCGTGCGTGTGTGTGTGTGGTGCGTGGTGTGTGTGCGTGTGCGTGTGTGCGTGTGTGCGTGTGTGCGTGTGCGCGTGTGCGTGTGTGCGTGCGTGTGTGTGTGTGTGTGTGTGTGTGCGTGTGTGTGTGCGTGTGTGTGTGTGCGTGTGTGTGTGCGTGCATGTGTGTGTGTGTGCGTGTGCGTGCGTGTGCGTGTGTGCGTGTGTGTGTGTGCGTGTGCGTGTGTGCGTGTGTGTGTGCGCGTGTGTGTGTGCGTGTGTGCGTGCATGTGTGTGTGTGTGTGTGCGTGTGTGTGTGTGTGTACGCGCGTGTGTGTGTGTACGCGCGTACCGAAACACCTCGATGGCGCTCCACAGGTAGTAGACGGCGAAGGCGGCGTTGGTGGCGCTCAGGCGCTCGTGCATCCCGATCACCACAAACAGCATGAAGCCCCGGCCCAGCACCTGGCGGCAGGAGGGGTCAGGGTGAGAGGGGAGGGGTCGGGGGGAGAGGGGAGGGGTCAGGGGGAGAGGGGGAGGGGCACGGAGCAGAGCGGAGGCTTAGACGACCGCACCACAGCCCAGGCAACCCTCGGGGTGGAGAGGGAAGTTCACTCAACACCCTCCGCCTCTGTGCTCCCAGCGATTTGGGGTCAAGGTCGCCGGGTCGCGGGGTCAGGGTCGCGGGGTCAGGGTCGCGGGGTCAGGGTCGCGGGGTCAGGGTCGCGGGGTCAGGGTCGGGGGGTCAGGGTCGCATGGTCGGAGTCACGGGGTCGGGATCGTGGGGGAGCGGCACCTGCAGCGCGGTGGGGATGAGCGCGGCGGAGACGAGGCCGGCGAGCGGGTGGACGACCTCCAGCAGGGCGAGCACCTGGCAGAAGCGCAGCACCTTGTGGGCGTCCTTGAGCGCCGAGCCCCAGAACTCTGCGCCGAGAGCGAGCGGGGGAGGGGGGGGGAGCGCAGGGATGAACGAGGAGACTTGCATGAATGTGCAAGTATTGGCGGACGTGCGTCGTGTGGGGAGACAAGGGGACCATCAGGAGATATAAATACCCAGGGACACACGGAGACGCACGGGGAGACACGAGGAGACGCACGGGGAGACACGAAGAGACGCACGGGAAGGCACAAGGGGAGACACAGAGGGAGACACGGGGAGACACGGGGAGACACGGGGAGACACGGGAGACACGGGGAGGCACGGGGAGGCACAGAGGGAGACACGTGGAGACGGGGGAGACGCGTGGAGACACGGGGAGACACGGGGTGACACGGGGGAGACACGGGGGGAACGCACGGGGAGACACAGAAGGAGACACGGGGAGACAGGGGGCACGGGGAGACACGGGGGAGGCACAGAGGGAGGCACGGGGAGGCACGGAGAGACACGGGGAGGCACAGAGGGAGGCACGGGGAGGCACAGGGAGGACACTCGGGGAGACACGGGAGGTACGGGATGCACAGGGAGGACACACGGGGAGGCACGGGGGGAGGCGCACCGTGTCCCAGTAGCAGCGGCACGTAGAGGCTGACGAGCACGTAGGCGAAGCCCAGCAGCTGCACCAAGTTGTAGACGAAGAGGTAGCCGCGGTGCACGTGGAGGAGCGCTGCACGGGGAAGACGGAGAACACTCACCACCACCACCACTCACCGACACCACCACTCACCACCACTCACCACACTCACCACCACCAACAACAACAAGCAGTTGTAGACGAAGAGGTAGCCGCGGTGCGCGTGGAAAGCGCTGCACGGGGAGACGGAGAACACTCACCACCACCACCACTCCACCGACACCACCACCACCACCACACAACAACCACCACTTCACCACCACCACAACAACAACCACCACTCACCACCACCACAAGCAACAACCAGGTTGTAGACGAAGAGGTAGCCGCGGTGCAGCGTGGAGAGCGCTGCAACGGGCAGACGGAGACCGCTCACCACCACCACCACTCACCACCACTCACCACCACCACCACTTACCGACACCACCACCACCACCACAACAACAACCACCACTCATCACCACCAAACAACAACCAGGTTGTAGACGAAGAGGTAGCCGCGGTGCAGCGTGGAGAGCGCTGCACGGGCAGACGGAGAAACGCTCACCACCACCACTCACCACTCACCCCCACCACCACTCACCACCACCACCACTCACCCCCACCACCACTCACCACGACCACCACCACTCACCAACACCACCACTCACCAACACTCACCACCACTCACCACTACTCCACCAACACCACCAGTCCCACCACCACCACTCACCACTACTCACCAACACCACAACCACCATCACTGCAGTGCAATGCATGGGGGAGGGGCACAGAAAACTCACCAGTCAGTTCCTCTACTCACCAAAACCCACCATGTTAAACCACAATGCGCCACCAGTCCAACCAGCACACCACCACCACACCACCATCACCACACCACCACCACACCACCATCCCACCACCACCACCACCACCACCACACCACCATCCCACCACCACCACACCACCACACCACCACCACACCACCATCCAAACACCACCACACCACCACCACAACCACCACCACCAGTCCCCAACACCACACCACCACCACACCACCACCACCACACACCACCACCACCACACCACCACCAGTCCCACCACCACCACACCACCACCACACCAACCACCATCCAACCACCACATCACCATCCCACCACCACCACCACTACACCACCACCACACCACCACCACACAACCACACCACACCACCAGTCTAACCACCACCACACCACCAGTCCCCCACCACCACAACACCATTCCACCACACCACCACCACAACACCATCCCACCACACCACCACCACCAGTCCCACCCCACACCACCACCACCACACCACCAGTCCCACCAGCAGAACCCACCACCACACCACATCCCACCACCACACCACCACACCACCACCAGTCCACACCACCACACCACCACCAGTCCCACCACCACACCACCATCCCACCACACACCACCACCACACACCACCACACCACCACCACACTACCACCACACCACCACCACCAGTCCCACCACCACACCACCACACCACCAGTCCACCACCACCACACCACCACCACCACACCACCACCAGTCCCACCGCCACCATCTGCGCTCCGTGGCTTTGCGCCGGGGATGCGGGGACGGAGCTCACGGTGTTTGCGGACCGCGCGACTCCACGGTGACCTTCCCGATATTCTTCATCTCCTGCAGGCGGGGACACGGCGGCAGAACCGTCACCGCCCGTCACGGACAACGCGCCGTCGCCGCACGCCGGGCATTTGGAGTGTGCACGTGCTCACCGTGGTCGCGTGGATATTTCTCTCTGGGCCTTGCGGGGGTAAAAAATCCAGGTGCGTTTAGATCAGGGGTGGGGAACGTCCGGCCACGCGGGCCGTACAAAGGCCCGCAAAACCATTTGGTCTGTTCCAGCCATCACATTAGGGGCGAGTTAATTAAATGCTTGACCAAAATGTAATATGAGAATATATCCGGCTCACTGACGTATCACAACTCGTCATGGTGATTGGCTCTGCCGGTTCTGGTTTACAGCCAATGGGGGGAAGCCTAGGGGCGTGGCCCTGACGTCATGGAAAGGTGACAGCTGTAAGGATTGGTTCTGCTGGCTTTGGCCTCAGCCAATGGGGAGACGAGTCAGGGGCGTGGTCCCGGGAGCTGACGAGGGAGCCTGGAAGATTCGATGCAGGCTAACGAGGATTGGCGGAAACGTACCACGTGACCCGGGTATTAAATAGGGGTGGAGACGAACGACACGTGGTCAGAACGGGAACGAACGGAGGAAGGGGGCCACGCGGGAGCGGGGCTCCGAGTTGCCACGTGGCAGTGCGTCTCTCTCTCTCTATCTGTCCCTCTCACGCTGCCTGTCAGCAGCGTGAAGTAACTGTAACATAAGTTGAATAAAGACGGATTCCAGAAGTCGTCTCAACGAGCTTTATTACACAAATATAATAGTCTAATTTTGAAGTTGATAATTTTGTATGGCCCGCGAATGACTTTATAAATATCCAAATAGACCTTGGCAGAAAAAAGGTTCCCCACCCCTGGTTTAGAGTATTTCAACGCGCGCTTTAAGAGTATTTCGCCGCTATAAATGTCCGCGCGACGAGCCACTTCGTTGGGCTCTCTCGTTTGTCGCTTCCCGAAACAAGAGCTGCGTGGCTCAGTGGGGGCCTTACCTGGTAAAATAAAAATTGTTTAGTCGAGTTAAAAAGAGTATCCGCTCATCGCTCTCGAACAGACCGAGAATGACTTGGAGGCGCTGGGGGGGGGGGGGGGGGCACGGACGAGCGGGAGAGGCAGCAGTGGCCAGGTGACTAGCCGGCGCCAACCTTCGCCCATGCTGTATGGTCCACTACGCACGCTGGTTTATCCGCCGATTAATGAGCGTTTATACATGCGGGGGAGGAAACCGCAGCGTCCGCAGAAAAGCCACGTGCGAGGGGGAAACGCTCTATCTCGTACAGAGGGAACAGGTGCACAGTCCACGCTTTTGCTGTGACCGCCTTCTCCTGCCAGAGACTGGCTACGGCTCCTCCTCGACAGCTAGCCGCGGGGGGAAGGGAGTTTCACAACATTTGCGCGGTGATCTACCAACCCTCCCCGCACGCACGCCTCCCCTTCCCATCGGCCCTTCTCATCGCGACGTCGTCATTGTCATCATCGTCGTCGTAGTGGTCATCGTCGACGACGAGGTGATCGTCGTCATCATCCTTGTCATCGTCGTCATTGTCAACGTTGTCATCCTTGTCGTCATCATCATTTACACCATTGGAACCTCATTGCCAGTAAACATTATAATTGGTTTTTTACCCTTTTATCTGTCAACAAAACTGACACCTTTTTTTACAAGGTGTCATGTTTGCATAGACTACAGCTTTCCTTAGAGCCAGCACCATGTGAGACTAGGCTCTAAGGAAAGCGGTCTCGAGTGTGGACCAATCAACTTCAAGGACAGTGCATACATTATCAGAGTTGTGTTTTTTGTTTGCATTGTGACTGCAGGTATTGTGGTCTATGCAAACATGACTCCTCGTAAAAAAAAGGTGTCAGTTTTGTTGCCAGATAGAAGGGTAAAAAAACAATTATCGTCGTCACCGTCGTCATCACCGTCGTCGTTTTCATCATCACCGTCGTCGTCGTTTTCATCGTCGTTATCGTCATCACCGTCGTCGTTTTCATCATCGTTATCGTCATCACCGTCGTCATCACCGTCGTCGTTTTCATCATCGTTATCGTCATCACCGTCGTCGTTTTCGTCATCATCGTCATTGGCGAGCGGCCGGGTTCCGTCTCCTCGCGCCCAACCCCCAAGCCTCACCTCGAGCCGCAGCTCCTCCTCGGCGTCGGACTCGTCCATCCAGCGGTCGAAGTCGGGCATCACAAAGTTGGGGCGCCGCTCGGCGCTGGTGAGGCGCGCCCACCAGGCCGGCGCGGCCTTGCGCAGCGTGATGGCGACCTCGCGCTGCGTGACGCGCACGCTCGCCGCCGGCGTCTCCACCGCCTCCAGCAGCTCCAGCGAGAACCCGTAGCGGTTCTGGCCCTGGGCGCCGTAGCCGTAGCCTGGCGGGTGGGCGGTGGCGGTGACCACGGCGGTGGCGGTGACCACGGCGGTGGCGGTGACCACGGTGGTGGCGGTGACCACGGCGTTGGCGGCGGCATTGGTGACCACGTGTGACCACGGCAGCGGCGGTGATCACGGTGGTGGCGGCAGTGACGGTGACCACGGCGGTGGCGACGGCGGCGGCGGAGCGGTAAAGTGCAAGAGGTTAGCGCGACGCGATACGAACCCGGCGACTCGAGTTCGAATCCCGCTCGCGACGATTATCTAAACCGGTCCTGGGCCTCCCCTAGGTCGACTCGGCCTCAAATGAGTACCAGGTGTGACGTGTAATCATCGCCACTCGGGAGACAAAGGTGGCCGGCTTTCATAGGTGCTACTCGCTAACAACAGTACTTGCTCCAACAGTCTGCTAAGGCTACACGGGGGAATATTTGTCTTCGGTGATGGAGGTGGAAATGCAGGCGATGGCAACATAGACAGCAGCAGCAGTAGTGACGACGCCCTTTGCTAAGCCTCGCCAAGTCCTAAGAATAATTTTCAGGAGAGTGCTGGATGCCGGGATGTTTGGCCAATTCCATGACCGTGATGATGGATGTGGTTGATTTTAATGATTCTGTAGATTTGGATTTAAAGCTTTCGTGACTGCAGGGATTCATTCTTGGTTCTTTCGGTAAAGTCACGTAGAAGGGAAATAATAAAATAATAAAAATAAAACATAAAATTATTCTCACGACGTTTCAGCCACAATGCAAGCAGCCGTCCTCAGGTGAAGAACATGTCTGTCAGAAAGACAGCGTCATTGTGGCCGAAACGTCGTGAGAATTATTTTATGTTTTATTTGTATTTTTTATTATTTCCCTTCTACGTGACTTTACCGAAAGAACCAAGAATGGATTCTGTAGATGCTGATCGTGGTGATGAAGACGACTTTGAAGACGCGCGAGTGTGATTGTCGGCAACGGTGCTCATGGCAATTCTGGTTCATCTCAAGTTGGAGTCGATTAAGCCGACGATGACGATGAGAGCCCTCCATAATACAGGCTTTTTTGGGTTAGATCGTGTAAACTAAAAAATGTGTCGATAAACCTGCCACCACCCGACACAGCCAACTAGTAAGGGTTGTCACGTAAACAGGGTGGCCAATTCGTCACTAGTCCAGCACGCCGGTGGGTTGGAGAGCAATAACCACAACATTTACAATCTAAGTGGCTTTGATCTGCAACACACGAATTGGCACGTTCTGTTCACGTGACAACCCTTACGAGTTGGCTGCATGGGGTGGTGGCGGGTTTAACGACTTTTATATATTTAAGCGACCGAACCTAAAAACCTCTATGGATATCGGTCGCGAAAGCCTCCTATGTCGTGTTAAACCAGGCGTGGGGAACCATTTATCTGCCAAGGGCCATTTGGATATTTATAACATCATTCGCGGGCCATACAACATTATCAACTTTAAAATGTGCCTGTTATATTTGGTCAAACATTTAATTAACCCACCCCTAATGCGATGGCTGTAACTGCTTCTCTTTGGCGAGGCGTGTGTGATGTTAGCCAATGTTGATGTTGCTGCTACTCGCAACTGCTTTTCCAGGTTTGCTCCTAGATGTATTGAATTTCGAGTCCCGCCTGCGGTTGCCTTGGCAGGGCCAGAGACCAAATGATTTCGCGGGCCTCATACGGCCCGCGGGCCGGACGTTCCCCAGCCCTGCCTAGAGGGAGACAAAGGTGGCCGGAGGTTCCCTACCGCTGTGTTAAACGGGCGAGAGAGCCAGCCCTGTGTTAAACGGGCGAGAGAGCCAGCCCTGTGTTAAACGGGCGAGAGAGCCAGCCCTGTGTTAAACGGGCGAGAGAGCCAGCCCTGTGTTAAACGGGCGAGAGAGCCAGCCCTGTGTTAAACGGGCGAGAGAGCCAGCCCTGTGTTAAACGGGCGAGAGAGCCAGCCCTGTGTTAAACGGGCGAGAGAGCCAGCCCTGTGTTAAACGGGCGAGAGAGCCAGCCCTGTGTTAAACGGGCGAGAGAGCCAGCCCTGTGTTAAACGGGCGAGAGAGCCAGCCCTGTGTTAAACGGCGAGAGAGCCAGCCCTGTGTTAAACGGGCGAGAGAGCCAGCCCTGTGTTAAACGGGCGAGAGAGCCAGCCCTGTGTTAAACGGGCGAGAGAGCCAGCCCTGTGTTAAACGGGTGAGAGAGCCAGCCCTGTGTTAAACGGGTGAGAGAGCCAGCCCTGTGTTTAAACGGGTGAGAGAGCCAGCCCTGTGTTAAACGGGCGAGAGAGCCAGCCCTGTGTTAAACGGGCGAGAGAGCCAGCGCTGTGTTAAACGGGCGAGAGAGCCAGCCCTGTGTTAAACGGGCGAGAGAGCCAGCCCTGTGTTAAACAGGCGAGAGAGCCAGCCCTGTGTTAAACGGGCGAGAGAGCCAGCCCTGTGCGTACCTTTGAAGACGATCGTCTTGCCCCTGCACTCCACTTCATGTTCCTGCGAAAGGGAGAGGCCTGCGGAGTTAGGGACACCGGACCCCGTTCGGCCACAGCGGCCCCATCGCCCTCGTCAGACCCCGACCGCGTTGCCCCCAACAGTCCCACCGGCCAGGCTGGCCACACCGGCTCCAGAGCTCCATAGGCCCCATGGGCAGGCCAGACCCGGCCACACCACCACATTGTCTCCATCGGCCCCACCGACAACACCAGCTGCACCGGTCACATCGGCCCCGACGGCCCCGACAGACCCAGCAATGCCACAACATTGGGCCCGCCGGACTCTACCCAGCCCCACCGGCCCCACGGCCAGGCCAGACCCGGCCACACCACCACATTGTCTCCATCGGCCCCACCGACAACACCAGCTACACCGGTCACATCGGCCCCGACAGACCCAGCAATGCCACAACTTTGGGCCCGCCGGACTCTACCCAGCCCCACCGGCACCAACGGCCAGGCCAGACTCTGCCACACCACCACATTGTCTCCATCGGCCCCACCGACAACACCAGCTGCACCGGTCACATCGGCCCCGACAGACCCAGAAATGTCACAACTTTGGGCCCGCCGGACTCTACCCAGCCCCACCGCCCCAACGGCCAGGCCAGACCTGGCCACACCACCACGCTGTCTCAACCGGCCCCACCAGCCCCACCGGCCACACCAACCACAGCAGCTGCACCAGCCCAGGTCAGAGTGGGGGGGCGGAGGGGGGGGTCCCGAAATGCCAAGACTATTAAACAGGTCCCTGCATTAATCAATAAAACAAGGCAATGTCTTTTGTCTGAGAACCGCCCTTGATCCCCAGCAACCCGAGTAAGCAGCAGGCAAGAACAGTCCAGAACAGGTCCCACCCGGCCCCTGCCTCCCTCCCTCCCTCGTCGCCACCCTCTCCCTCGCCTCCTCCATTCTCTGGGGACTCGAGCACAGAAGAAGCTACGAATACAAAATGGGGTTGATGTTGTTGTTTCGATTTAAAGCTTTCGTGACTGCAGGGATTCATATTCTTGGTTCTTTCGGTAAAGTCACGTAGAAGGTAAATAATACAATAATAGTATTTCCCTTCTACGTGACTTTACCGAAAGAACCAAGAATATGGGGTTGTTGTTGTTTTTCGATTTAAAGCTTTCGTGACTGCAGGGATTCATCTTCTTGGTTCTTTCGGTAAAGTCACGTAGAAGGAAAATAATAAAATAATAAAAATAAAACAAACATAATTTTATTAAAATAATAAAAATAAAACATAATTTTCTTATGTTTTAGTTTTATTATTTAGTTATTTCCCTTCTACGTGACTTTACCGAAAGAACCAAGAAGTTGTTGTTGTTTTGTTTTTACTTAACTACACTTCTGGGAATAAGAAGACGACTCCGTCACGCCGGCTTGATGGCACTGACAGTCGACACGACTCACCATCGCTTCCTTCTTCTGCTGCTGCTGCACAAGCCAGCTGCTTCAGAGTGGACGATGGGACCAGGTCCCGGTCTGGTCTATGTTTTTATTTTGCCAAGGTGTAAGGAGGACCCCTACTGAGCTGTATCGCTCTTCAGCAGCGAGCTGGCCATCACGAATGATAGCTGGACGAAGAGGCTTATCGTCACCGCGTGGACATTTATAGCAGGCGAAATACTCCAACGCGTGTTGATTGTAAATGTGGAGGGGAAAAACCGGAGGCCCCGTAGAGGAGAAAAATCCAAACGACCACGGAGGGAGAGACACTGCAAACTTCAAATATACAGCAGCAGTCATCGCCAGGGTCGGGATCAAACCCACGACCTCCTGCATACCAGGCGAAGTAGTCAACATCTCCTAGCCACCGTGATGATGATGATGATGAAAGAGAGACACCGCAAACTCCAAATATACAGCAGCAGGCGTCAGGGTCGGGATGGAACCCACGACCTCCTGCACACCAGGCGAGGTAGTCAACATCTCCTAGCCACCGTGATGATGATGATGAGAGAGAGACACGCAAACTCCAAATATACAGCAGCAGGCGTCAGGGTCGGGATCGAACCCACGACCTCCTGCCTACCAGGCGAGGTAGTCAACATCTCCTAGCCACCGTGATGATGATGATGAGAGAGAGACACACAAACTCCAAATATACAGCAGCAAGCACCAGGGGTGGGATCGAACCCACGACCTCCTGCATACCAGGCGAGGTAGTTAACATCTCCTAGCCACCGTGATGATGATGAGAGACACCGCAAACTCCAAATACACAGCATGCACCAGGGTAGGGATCGAACCCACGACCTCCTGCCTACCAGGCGAGGTAGTTAACATCTCCGAGTCACCGTGATGATGATGATGAGAGAGACACGCAAACTACAAATATACAGCAGCAGCCGTCAGGATCGGGATCAAACCCACGATCTCCTGTGTACCAGGCGAGGTAGTTAACATCTCCTAGCCACCGTGATGATGATGAGAGAGACACGCAAACTCCAAATATACAGCAGCAGTCATCGCCAGGGTCGGAATCAAACCCATGACCTCCTGCATACCAGGTGAGGGAGTCAACATCTCCTAGCCACCGTGATGATGATGAGAGAGAGAGACACACAAACTAAAAATATACAGCAGCAGGGGTCAGGGTCGGGATCGAACCCACGACCTCCTGCACACCAGGCGAGGTAGTTAACATCTCCTAGCCACCGCGGCGCCCCGGATTGTGCAATGGGGACCTTGATTCATCCAGCCTTATCTGTGAACGCCTCTGGCTCAGCAGCCAAGCTCAAGGTTAACCCTCCCTCTCGTTTGCCAAGGCGAGGCACCCACCACCACAACCGCCATTCGCCACCAAGTAGCGATGACGTCCCCACGGCGTCAGTGCCAGGCTAGGTGCACTTTGAGTCCAACTTGTGAGATTGCCTCTCACACGGTGGCAGCAGCAGCAGCAGCACCAAGTGCCCCATCACTGACCACCTGCAACCACCCAAATGCACCTTAAAACCTATTTATATACAGTATACACTTCCGCGTATTAAACGTTTAGTTCATTTCGTAAATTATTTTAAAATGTATTTGCATGATTTGTATGACAAATCTGCTGCTGCTGCTTGTGTCCTGTACAGCGCATTGATAGATCATCGATGAAAAGCTGCGATATAAATGTTATCATACATTATTATCATTACCCGGCAAACAGGCCAACAACAACATCGCGTGGCCTTGCAAGGGAGGGGGGCTAAATAAATATAGCCGACGTTTCGGGGCGATGGCCCTTCACGTTCTACAACATTGATGATTACACAGCACACGCAATGTCGTATCCGCGTTCCCTTCCTTGAAGGGTCACAGTGTTGTTGGCGCAATGTGCTGCTGGGTTTCTGCCTAGAAGCGATTCGGTCGCATTGTCAACTGGTCGCACTAGCGATAGCCTATTCGTGTGGTGTTGTGTGCTGTGTGTGGTGTACGTGTGTGTGTGTGGTGTGTTGTGTTGTGTGTGTGTTGTGTGGTGTGTGTGGTGTATGTGTGTGGTTTGTTGTGTGTGTGTGGTGTGTGTGGTGTATGTGTGATGTGTGTGGTGTTTGGGTGTGTGGTGTGTGTTGTGATGTGTGTGGTGTATGTGTGTTGTGTGGTGTAGGTGTGTGATGTGTGTGGTGTGTGTGATGTGTGTGTGGTGTATGTGGTGTGTGTGGTGTGTGTGATATGTAGTGTGTGTGGTGTGTGATGTGTGTGGTGTGTATGTGGTGTGTGTGGTGTATGTGTGGGATGTGTGTGTGGTGTATGTGTGTGGTGTGTGTGTGGTGTGTGTGGTGTGTGTGGTGTATGTGTGTGACATGTGTGTGACGTGTGTGGTGTTTGTGATGTGTGTGGTGTTTGGGTGTGTCGTGTGTGTGGTGTGTATGTGGTGTATGGGTGTGTGGTGTGTGATGTGTGTGGTGTGTATGTGATGTGTGTGGTGTATGTGTGTGGTGTGGTGTGTGATGTGTGTGGTGTTTGTGATGTATGTGATGTGTGTGGTGTAGGTGTGTGATGTGGTGTAGGTGTGTGATGTGTAGGTGTGTGATGTGTGTGGTGTGTGTGGTGTTTGTGATGTGTGTGGTGTAGGTGTGTGATGTGTGGTGTAGGTGTATGATGTGTGTATGTGGTGTGTGTGGTGTATGTGGTGTGTGTGATGTGTGTGGTGTGATGTGTGTGGTGTAGGTGTGTGATGTGTGTGGTGTGATGTGATGTGTGGTGTGTGTGGTGTGATGTGTGTGATGTGGTGTAGGTGTGTGATGTGTGTGTCGTGTCAGGCTGGGCTCGCTGCTGCCGCTGTAGAATGAATGAATCAGTGAAGGTCGCGATCCGGGCCTAGCCCCGTCGCGGCCTTTCCCCGTGGCGGCCTTCGCCTCTCACCGACACCTCCTTGAGGTCCACCTTGAGGGACACCGAGTCGTGGCGCTGCGCCCACAGCACGGGCGGGGTCAGAGTCGGCGACATCGCCACGGACACACGGGCGACACACACGGACAACACACGGACAACACACACAGACACACACACACACGTGTGTAGCGCTGTCAGCTGACAGCCCTCGCCGGAAACACGTGGTGCACCATCCACACGCCCCGCCCCCAAGCCCCCGCACGCAGCCCCCCCCCCCCGCCCCCCGCAGCTTTAAAAACTAGAAGGTTCTACTGGTAGGAACCTCCTGGTTACACCAGCCCACAGGGGATTATTGTGTCCGTCCGTCCGTCGTGCATCCAAAAATGTGATGGGTGGGGCTGGGTGGAGAGGGGCTGGGTAGGGAGGGTGGGTAGGGGCTGGGTGGGGAGGGGCTGGGTGGGGAGGGTGGGGACTGGGGAGGGTGGTGCTGGGTGGGGGTGGGAAGGGTGGGGCTGGGTGGGGAGGGTGGGGCTGGGTGGGGGGGAGGGAGGGGAGGGGCAGGGTGGGGAGGGGCTGGGTGTGGAGGGTGGGGAGGGACTGGGTGGGGAGGGTGGGGACTGGGGAGGGTGGTGCTGGGTGGGGGTGGGAGGGGTGGGGAGGGTGGGGCTGGGTGGGGGGTGGGAGGGGAGGGGCAGGGTGGGGAGGGGGCTGGGTGTGGAGGGAGGGGAGGGGCTGGGTGGGGCTGGATGGGGGTGGGAGTGGTGGGGCTGGGTGAGGAGGGGCAGGTCACCCCGTGGTGCCCTTATAAAACTCAACGTTTAACCTACTCACACCGGCTTGTGCCCGCCCTCACAGTCGGCCATATTTGCGGAATACACCACGCCGCCGTTGACCCTGGCCATTGACCGAGCAACCCAACGTTCCTACCAGCTCCCTCCGCAGGAATGTGTTTAAACTCGACTCGTTTCGAGACCGCAAGCCAGGGTAATGATAAGAGAAATGTGGTCACGTAAATGGGGTTTCTGGTCACCAACCTCGCTGCCGCAGTCTGAACAATGTGTAGTCTACGTAGCAAGGAGCGTATTTGAAACGAGGCACTGCAGTAATCGATTCGCGAGAGGCCACGTGTATGGATCACCAGCCTCTCGGAATCAGCCGGTGTGACGATGTCGTGCAGTCGAGAAATAAATATTTCTGAGATGAAAAAAATTAACCCGTAAAAACAAAGTTTTTCACTATAAATCCTTTATATGCGTGGCGGCTAGAGTCCTCTCGTCCTCTGGCTTGAGATGGCTGCCACCTATGGGTCAGATGATTGTCTGGCAGCATTAAGCAATTGGTAATTAAATATTTTTTAAAAATTCCCTAAACAGTGTAACATTTTGGAAAAAAATTTTCACGAAAATTAATTGTCACGCACAACGAGTCTGTGTGGAAAATGTCAGCTCGATTGGATCACGGGAAGTGGGTTAAAAAACTACCGAAAGATTTGCACGGTCATAAGCAAGCAAGCACGCAAGCACGCAAGCAAGCGAACTTAATATAAGTATAACCAGTAAAAACAAAGTTTTTCACTATAAATCCTTTATATGCGTGGCGGCTAGAGTCCTCTCGTCCTCTGGCTTGAGATGTCTGCCACCTATGGGTCAGATGATTGCATTGTACCATTAAGCAATTGGTAATTAAATAATATTTTTGTCCTAAAAAGTGTAAAATTTTGGAAAAAAAATTTCACAAACATTAATTGTCACGCACAACGAGTCTGTGTGCAAAATGTCAGCTCGATTGGATCACGGAAAGTGGGTTTAAAAACGACCGAAAGATTTGCACGGTCGTAAGCAAGCAAGCACGCAAGCAAGCAAGCGAACTTAATATAAAGGATTTAATAAAGGATTTAAAAACAACCGAGGTTTTCACAACCTTATGAACGTGAGATTCGAAAGAAAGGAACGGATCGGACATCTAATCCCAAGATTACTTTATCTCATGCTTCGGGCAGATGTCCTGGCCATCAATAACTCGGCTGAAAAGTCCCAGTTTCTTTTTAATTGTTGCGGAGAGCTCACAAAGAGGAGTTTGGTCTTAGGAGCCGTCCATAAATGACGTCACGCGATTTTGGACGATTTTTGACCCCCCCCCCCGCTTGTCACACGGCGTCACAAAGTCAGCCCCCCCCCCTCAAATATGACGTCACAAAGCTCTGCCCCCCCCAAAACCATATTTCCATTTTGATAATATAACATGCTTCAAATCGCTTTAAACTATTGTAATTGTAGTGCGTATTTAATGTGGCGCTGCACTCTGATGTTGTAGGAGTGTTGTTATAACAATTAGTGTTGGTAAAACAATTATATATTTATTTTAAGTTGCGCATTTTAATGTGACGTCACATTTCTCAAACGCCCCCCCCCCCAGGTGCGTGACGTCATTTATGGACGGCCCCTTATTGTCATTTAGCTGGAGAGAAAAAAATCTTCATCCACTAGATTTTTTGCCCGTCCAAGGACGGATGAAAATTGCAGTAAATCTGAAATATTCAATAGAAAAATTAGTAAAATAGAAAAATTGTTCAGCTCATGATTATTAATGAGGGGGGGGGGGGGTGTTGCCCCATGTGGAGTGACGTCACCAGCTCAATGGTTATTGGGGAGGGGTGCGGCATGTGGAGTGACGTCACCCGCTCATGATTATTAATGAGGGGGGTTGCCCCATGTGGAGTGACCTCACCAGCTCAATGGTTATTGGGGAGGGGTGCGGCATGTGGAGTGACGTCACCCGCTCATGATTATTAATGGGGGGTTGCCCCATGTGGAGTGACGTCACCCGATCAATGGTTATTGGGGAGGGGTGCGGCATGTGGAGTGCGTGACCTTCTTGTGCGTTCGTGTAAATTTCCACGCGGCCATGAATATTAATGAAGGGGGGGGGGGGGCTCTTTTGCAGTGACGTCACGCACGGATGCAGCACTGTGCTGAGTAGATTTATTTTTTACCGTCACTTTCTGTAAAAAAACGTCATGACTTTGCGTAATCAATTATTGAATTCAGTTCGTGTAAAAATCCACCCACTCATGAATACTAATGAGGGGGGGTGGGCCTCATGTGGAGTGACGTCACGCGCGGGACGGACAGACATTTCTGGGTGATTATAGTAGGTAATGATTTTACAGTCATTCATGACCACGAAAGCAGAGATGTTGCCGACATCGAATCTGGTGTTCGCTGGAGGTAAATTATGGTGTCACCTGCACAGCGGTGTTGTCAGACCCCCCCTCAAATGACGTCACAAAGCTGTCCGCCCCCCCCCCCAAAATAAAACATGCTTCAAATCGCTTTAAACTATTGTCATTGTAGTGCGTATTTAATGTGGCGCTGCACTCTGATGTTGTAGGAGGTAACATTAATCAAAAATTATATTTCATTACGTAGAACGTTTTGTCTATATTTATTTAAAGTTGCGCATTTTGATGTGACGTCACATTTCTCAACCCCCCCCCCCCCTCGTCACAAATGTCGGCCCCCCCCCCCCCCCCAGTTACGTGACGTCATTTATGAACGGCCCCTTAGCGCGGCCCGAGAAATCATAGCAGTGCTCCAAATGGGGCCCATGTCGATGCTAAACAGAATGGGACCAATGCTTGCTCAAACAAAACGCAAGTTTGCGTCCAACGCAACCTTTGTACCCACGACAAACGCCTGGCAGGAGGATACGCAGCAGAGTCAACGAAATCGTGAATGGGGAAACGTGGAAAGGAACTGGGATAGGCGAGAGAGAGAGAAAAGAGCAGCAGACAGGGCCAGAAGACCCCCAAGGCAGACGGAGGGCACGGCTCAAGATGAGCAGCTGGACAAAAGGAGCGCTAGGCAGGAAGGAGAGAGGAGGGAATGACCGAGACGACATTTTGGTGGACGAGAGGTTGATGATGGGAGGTTCATGGGTTCGATCCCGACCCTGACGTCTGTATATTTGGAGTTTGCATCTTTCCCCGTAGATTTTCAACAGTTTTTCCGTCATTTAAAATCGACGTGTTTTTAATAGTATTTGGGATGCTGTGAATTTCATTTGTTGACAGGTCGCTTTTAATAGAGAGATATTTTGCTGAGTGGTGAGGCTTGACCTGGTAAAAACAGATTCCTGCAGAGGGAGCTGGTAGGAACGTTGGGTTGCTCGGTCGATGGCCAGGGTCAACGGCGGCGTGGTGTATTCCACAAATATGCCCGACTGCGAGGGCGGGCACAAGCCGGCGTGAGTAGGTTAAACGTTGAGTTTTATAAGGGCACCACGGGGTGAGCAGCCCCTCCCCACCCAGCCCCACCCCTCCCACCCCGGACCCAGCCCCACACTCCCCACCGAGACCATCCCCACCCTCCCCACCCTGCCCCTCCCCACCCAGCCCCTCCCCACCCAGCCCCTCCCCACCCTCCCCACCCAGCCCCTCCCTCCCCACCCAGCCCCTCCCTACACGACGGACGGCCGGACACAATAATCCCCTGTGGGCTGGTGTAACCAGGAGGTTCCTACCAGTATTAGTACAGAGATAAGTAAGCCGCACGGTGAAGCAGCATCTGTTTTCAAAAGGGGCAGGAAGGAGGCATTTCGATTGGGGGGGGGGTGACATGATTTAGAAAACTACAGTAAACCCTCGATTATCCGCGCTAATGCCGGAGAAGAGAGCCGCTGATTATTTTAAATAGCAGATAATCCAAAAATATCCATTTTCCGAGGATATCTATGCCAAAAACCACAAATACATGGATACATTACGTTTAAGTGTCTCTGCCATTGCAGTTTTCGTAAATTAAAACTCGTAATATAAATGATAAAAAAAAATCACTCGAAATTAAGCACAACTGACGATTTCGATTGTGACTTTCGATTTAGAACGAACAGAAACGATCGACCGATCGATGCGCGTGCTCAGTGATAACACTTTCCTGCTCCTGCCCGGCAGAAGGTTCGGCCCACCAAGTGGATAACAGCAGAGCCACAGCAATCAACATCAATCAAACTCCGCCCCACTTTTGTAAAGATATGCAACTACTGTACTGTAGAGCGATCACGTGGATGTCAGAATCACCGGAGCAACACATTTGTTTGGTTTACACACGCGACTTGTAGTAAACATTTCCAAGAATAACAATGTACAAAATGAAATTAAAATTAAAAATAAAATAAAAATGTATTAATTTTCATTTCATTTTTTACCAACGTGACTTTACCGAAAAACTAAGCGTATGAATCCTTGCAGTCACGAAAGCTTCAAATCTAGAAGCAATGTACAACTATTTTTAGATGATTCATTTGGGCTTTAAGGGAAAAAAATAATCTGAGGTGCGCAGTTAATCCGCAAATCGGGAAAAAACCACACACAGGTTATCGTGAGTCTACTGCATTGCCCTTTTCGTTCAGCAGTGTCCCGTCGTTTAAAGCTGGGAGGGCTTTTGCCGACAGCATCTGGCAGCCCAGGAGCCGGAGATGGCGACGCGCCCGAGTGGAGGACACCCGCAGAAGCTCCAGGATTGTGCAATTCGCTTTTGTGGGATGGTTGGCAACGGCCTGGGGAAAAAACTGATTTTTTTTTCCCGAACAATCGTAATCGAACATATCATCGTTTATTGCAAAACACAATCGGCGGTGCGGAATCACGGCCATCGTCTCGGGGGGGCGTTGTGGACGCTGGCTCGCGCTCCCAATGCGGTGGGAAAACGCTCGATCCTGTCCGTCGCCCCCCTCCCCGTCAACTACTTTTAACCCTCAACAATCTTTCTCCATCACTCCCCTATCTTCCGTCCCTTCCCACCAGGGCCGTAGCCATGGAGTCAACATTGGGGGGGGACCCAAATCTTCCAGGGGGTCTGGGGGTCTCCCCCCCAGAAAAAAAAATCTAAATTTAAAAACGAATTTCCTGCCATTTCATGCCTAAAATATTTAAAAATTCACTAATACATAGGATGGACTTTTTATTTACCGTATTTTTTACAATGTCTAATAGTGTATTGTATTACATTGCTCCGTTTTTCTTTTTTACATTTTCTTGTTTCATTGTATGTAATGGCAGATATTAGAGATGAATAAAGTACAACCATAACCACAATCATATGAACAGAAATCTGTTTTATAGCAATATATTGGGGGGGGGACATTTTGAGCATATTTGATTATTGGGGGGATGTGTGTGCCCCCCCAAATATATATTATAATTACGGCCTTGCTTCCCATCGATCTCGCGAATTTCCCCTTCTAAAAAAATCGACTCCATCCGTTCCTTTCCTTCACCCCCCCCCCCCCCCCACTGTTTCATTGGCTCACGCTCGATGCGGAACTGTGGCGGGTGGTAAGGGGGCTGTAGCCCCTAGGAAGGTGCAGGTGGGCGAGACGTAACCCAGCGCGGCCACGCGCGGCCCACGCCGCAATAAACTGGCCCAAGAGTCGATGGCTTCGTCCCGGCGTTTGGCAGAGTTTGACGGAATTCCCACGGTACGTTACATTCAAGTCTTGGGGTGTCATTTGGAAGCGACGTTGATATTAAAAAATATTTTTTCTTTAAAAAAAACCTCTTAAAACACACACACACACGCAGACAAAAACAACTATTGCAGATTTCAGCAAAGCCCTGAACAATCCTGGAAGTTAAAAAGGCAAAAATCCCACGTCCGACGTCGCGAGGTGCGAGTTAAACTATGGACGTCACAAGCCTGCCGCTGCACCCTCCGACGACCCGAACCAGCTCGCGCGCCCCTAATGCCCAACACGGCCTATAAAAACTACAATGAAATTGGATAAAACCATTACAAGATCACACAAATTATCTGGGAACGCTGCTGCGTTGGTGGACAGACAACAACACTCAACACGTTCATCAATAACACTGTGGTCTCAAAGGACATACCCAGGTGGTTATGGGTGAACTAAAATGACTGACATAGGCAACACCTCACTGCATTTTAGCCGCCTGGCGCTCCGCTCGTTGTTGTGAGCGTCGCCCCTTTGCCCTCTGCTGTTGACGGGCCGACTGCCCCCAACTGCCCAGAAGCAGCGTCCTTCACGAGCCTCTTCCAGAGGCCACATGGACACGGCTGGTACCGGTCATCGGCAAGTCCGAATGAGAATCTTTAGCCTGCCGGAATCCGATGAGCTATGAAGTTCTTTTTTTTACAGATGTCCAGTCGGCTCCACATCCTCCTGTACCACATCAGCCCATTTCTAGTCGAGCCCAAACCGTGCCCGTTTAGCTCCCTCTATCTGGCCAAACAGAAGTTGCTTGGGCATGCAGCGGCTGGGCATGTGAGCTACATGACTCAGCCAATGCAGCCTTGCCTAAAGGAGCCGATGGGACTGTCCAAATCATTTAACGATCTGCGTGAGCTCCTCACATAATCCAGATCGTTTAAACCCGAGATGGATCGAAGGCAGGTCAGCCTGAATGTTTCGAACTGCTGCAGATGTTATTTTTAAGGGCTCCACGTTTTGCAAGCATAGAGAAAAGGGAGGGCATAACGGTGGCCGAGAAGATACGGAGCTTCTTGGTTCTTTCGGTAAAGTCACGTAGAAGGGAAATAATAAAATTAAAACATAATAAAATAATTCTCACGACGTTTCGGCCACAACGCAAGCAGCCATCCTCAGGTGTCGGGGAGACAGCGTCAGACGCTGTCTCCCCGACAGACCTGGTCTTCACCTGAGGACGGCTGCTTGCGTTGTGGCCGAAACGTCGTGAGAATTATTAAATGTTTTATTTGTATTATTTTATTATTTCCCTTCTATGTGACTTTACCGAAAGAACCAAGAAGATGAATCCCTGCAGTCATGAAAGCTTTAAATCTAAATTTAAGATACGGAGCTTCGTATGGTGCTAAAGGCCAGGCAGCTTCCACACAGCATTAGAGCTGATGACAAGACAATGCCACTCGACTGATTTGGAGACCTCTGCTGCCAAACCAGAGTTGGTAATGACACTGCCCAGGTACAGGAACTTCTCCACAACTGCCCCAGTACTCATGGTGAGTTGAGGGGTGGGGGTATGAAACCAACATAAAACACCCAGGCAGGTGCTCTATTTTGTGGGGCTCCCACGTTCAGCAGTGGTGTCTCCAACTCAAGAGTGAGCAGGAATTACCAGATCATCAGCGTACGCAACATGGTTGACCGGAAGGGAGCCATCCCTTGACAACACCGGCTATCAATCAGGCTCCCATTGTATCCTGTGCCAGACACGAATTCCTCTGGTATAGCCATGAAAAGCTTATCGAACTATGTTTAAAAATATGTTAAATAGTGTAGGGGCCAGAGTACATCTCTGTCGCACCCCAAGTTGAATAGGGAATGGCTCCGACACGCAGCTTTATCCAGGTCCTTAATGATTGTGAGCAGTCAGGGACCCTGAAAGCATGAAAAACCCAGAGCCCTGCTCTATTGATGCCATCATAGGCCTTGACCAGGTCTATGAGGCAGAGATGGAGGTTCTGCTGAAATTCTCTACACCATCACCACCAACGCCAGCATGACCTGTCATTTCATTTTGCTCGCAGTGAGGTCAGGGGCTGGGGTTACATAGATAATAAAATTAACGTCCCTTTATCATGTAAATAGGTTCAATAATACTTAACATGTTACGCAACCGGCCCAGTTTTTTTTATATTTGGCGTATTTATTTCCAATGTTACTCTAATTGCACCGTCGGTGTCACGTCAATAATTCCTTCCCCCGAGCGATTTCCAGCGCGGCTCGCGGATTCCACGCCGCGCCGTCTGCACCGAGCAGGAGGGCGCAGTGCGGACGGCGTCGAGCCACGGGGGCCGCAGGGTGGCGGCACGCAGGGTGGCGGCACGCAGGGTGGCAGCACGCAGGGTGGCGGCACGCAGGGTGGCAGCACGCAGGGTGGCGGCACGCAGGGTGGCGGCACGCAGGGTGGCGGCACGCAGGGTGGCGGCACGCAGGGTGGCGGCACGCAGGGTGGCAGCACGCAGGGTGGCGGCACCACGCAGGCCACGGTACAAGGCACGCGACGAACGAAGCCACCCCCGACAGCGGTGGACCCCACAAACGCGCACGGCTCAAGGCCTCCGTTCACTGGACGGACGAGTTTCTCGTCGACCCGGCCCGTTCGCGACAACGTCCCCGCGCTTTGAGCTCGTTTGTAGGGTTCGGCGGTTCCCCCGCCCCCGGCCCCTGCGACCCCGAGAGCCCCAGGGTTACCGCGAGGGTGCTGGTCGCTTCTCCTCGAGCGCGCGCTCGGAGCCACGAGCAGGGGAATCGTTACGCGTGCCCCGGAGGTGGCGCGGACGCGGTGAGGGTGCGGCGAGTGCGGGGTGCGGGGCGTAAGTGCCAGGAGATCGTCGAGGGTGAGGGTACAAGGGGGCTGGGTGAGGGTCTGAGTGCAGGGTGTGTGTAGGGGTCACAAGGTGAGTCAAGGGTGACGGGGTGAGAGTGTACAGGGTGCTGCAGAACTGCAAGTGCTTCTCGTGGGGTCAGGGTCAAGGGTAAAGGGTCAAGGTGGCAGCTCAGGCTTGCGTCGCTCCTCCCTCCGTGGCGTCTTTGACCCCGGGCTGGGTCCCCGTGCCATCGTCCGCCAGCGCACTGTGCACACGGAAATTGGCACGCGGGAATCGGCACATGAGACACGGGAGTGGGCACACACGAATTGGCGCACAGGGAGCGGGGTACCACCACCGTCCTTGACGCACCGGGCTAATTCAGGGACGGCGTGGCCCCAAATTATATCCGCTTTTGTTTCACAAGCAGCTGCGTCATTTTCATTATGTAAAATGTTAATAGAGATATGTATGTTTAACACGTAAAGCTTTCGCGTCCAATATCCATAATCCAGGTTATTTTGGGTTAGGTCAGGTAAATATATAAATGTGTCGTTAAACCCGCCACAGCCAATTAGTAAGGTTTGTCACGTAAACAGAACGTGCCAATTCGTTACTAGTACAGCACACCGGTGTGTTGGAGAGCCAAGCCACAACATCTACAATCTGAGTACGCATTTCGCCAGTAATTCCAGGTAGCATCATCAGACGACAGCCAGATTTGTCTGGCTTACGCGATCTAACCCAAAAAAAACCCTATATTATAGAGATATGTATGTATACCACTGAGAAACCACAAAAAAACATAAGCCCATTCCCAAACGCACAATCAAACGCTACGGTAACGACTGCGCAGAACGGACGGCCTAAGCTGCCCGCGTGGCACGCAGTGTTCCGGCGCAGTGCGGGGACGCGGCTCATGGCAAGGCGGCGCCGCTGTCCGCCCCCGCTTGTCCATTCTTTGAGGTTCGGGAAAGTGAGATTATTTTTCACTGATTCGGGGGTCCCTCAACTCCCCCACAGAAAGCCCCATCGCACGCATGGAGCACACGCGGTGAGCCCGCCAACGTTATAGCCGAGTATACTCTTAGTTCTTTCGGTAAAGTCACGTAGGTAAAAAATGAAATTAAAATTCATAAAAACAATTAAATCACGACGTTTCGGAGGAAATACAAGCTTCCGTCTTCAGGTGAAACTGTCACAGCAAAATATCTGTATCAAGTGAAGAGATACAGATATTTTGCTGTGACAGTTTCACCTTAAGACGGAAGCTTGTGTTGCCTCCGAAACGTCGTGATTTTAATGTTTTTATTTTTTATTAATTTTAATTTCATTTTTTACCTACGTGACTTTACCGAAAGAACTAAGAGTATGAATCCTTGCAGTCACGAAAGCTTCAAATCTAGAAGTTATAGCCGAGGACACACGCGGTGATATTATCACAGCGTCAAGGACGCCAAAGGTCAAACCGTTATTGATTATTAAATTCTACCGTCGCGCGCAGTAAAACATCGATTCAGCCATTTCGTTTGGCCACCGGAGGTTGCCCATTGGCTGATCGCTGTTACGGGGGACACGGTCCTCATTGGTCAAGCGGAGGTGGCCACTCACGATCGATGGTCCGCTTTGACCGGCGAGCGTTCGATTTGGCCGGCGAGTTCAAACGGGAGTTTTTGAGACGCGAACGGCTGGGACGGGGGTCGGCAACCGACGGCTCCGGAGCTGCGTGCGGCTCTTCAAGGACTGCCGCTTCGTGAGCGTCATTTATTCAAGAACGCCGTCTCGTGTTCACCACGTGCATCAACGGCTCTTGAAATATCGAGTTGTAGTTTTTGACCGAATTCGAAAGAAATGGCTCTTCTTGTTCTTTTGGTTTGCCGACCCCTGGACCGAAAGAAGGAGGAGTCTGGAGAGACGTAAGGGATGGGCTCAGCTGCAGACACTCAGCGACCGCCAGATGTAACGTGTGGGTACGGCGACGCTGCTGCCACTTGCTACTCCCGCAGCTGCTGCATAAAACTGTGCACTGAAGCGATGCCACCTGGGGTGGTGACGAAGGTGCGAGATCACGTCCGGGCCCCTCACGGACTCCGCCAGCGCCACCCAAACTCGCGCACACCTCTCTCCGAGCCGCGTCTCCTCCGCTCCGTCCGCCGCTCCATCTCCGTTTTCGACGTCCCTGGGCGCCGGACCTCGCCGCTCGCCCCAGGCCCTGCCGTGGCCCCTCCGGCCCTTCCCTTGGGACCGCGCACGCCAACGCGAGCCTTCGGTTAGCGCGAGGGATTCGTCCGCGGCTTGAGACGCAAGTGCCGAGCGGCAGGGCGTTGGGACGCTTGTAGCGGAGGTATTGTGGTTCGAGTCCGGCGACCGCCCAGGTTAATGCTGCCGCGAGTATTTAGCCACGAACTAATGCGTGGGAACTATTATGCTTTGCTGTGGACGTTGCCAAGTTCCCGGAGGCATCATGACAAAAAAAAGTAGGCCTTGCGTGCAAGTGTCACAGGTCAAATTAGACAACAATGACCCACGTATTTGCCAATTCGGTATAGCCGCGGAGAAGCATTGCCCCCATACTGGCAGACCATACCCATCTGTGAATCATCGTGCCTTCCCTTGTCATGATAGCCTTGTGCTATAAGAATGGCGCAAATACCAAGTGTATTAAATTATTGATGACCTATTCTCAAAACTACCCCGTCTGGCCCACACCACCGCCAAGCCACACAAAAGATCCCCCGTGAAGCCTTTGACAGGCTGTTGGGGGGAAATGCCGTACGCACGAGGGGGTGGAGGTGGCCAGCATCACGCCCTACTGCTTTTGTCTCCCCATGACGATGTTTACACACTGCACCAGGTCGTCATTGAAGGCCGAGTCGACCTAGGAGAAGTCCTGTTAAACATTCGCGGTCACTGTTAAACACAGAACTGCTTCATGTGTTTCGTTTGTTGTCCTTCCCCTGCACGTCCGATTATCACGATTGGCTATGTACGGTGCGAAAGACGTTCAACATTCATACGCACATCACGAGTGGGAATCGAATGTGGGCCGTTGCCGGGGTTCGTAGCCCCGCGGCGCTGACCACTCCGCCACCACTACAAGCGACACCACATCACTCCGTCACGTGACCACGACACTTCACCACCACCCCCCCACATCCCAACCACGACGCCAAAACATCCCGGCAACCGCCGTCACAACACGCCACCACGTGTCGCCCACGTCGCTCACCTCTACGGTCGCCGCGCCCGCCCCGCGCCTCCCGCGCCGTAGGCCGCGACTGTTGTTTGTCGTTACTGGCGGGCGTGGGGTGGGGGGCCTCGTCCGCGGCGGGGGTGCTAGGGGGGGCGGGGGCTGGCGGTGGGGGGCTGTGGGGGGCGTAGATGGGGGAGCTGCCATCCTCCTCCGCCAGGAACATGGACTTGAACTTGTGGTAGATCATGGCGGCCTTGTGCATCACGTCCTCGCTGGCGCGGTAGTTGCGGATCTGGGGGTGGCACGGGAGAGGCGCGAGCGTCAGGCTGGCTCCGCGCCAAACCACATCCAGTTCGGGTTCAAAGTTGATTCAGCTTAACCAGGCGAGAGCTCACGAGAACTGGACGAGTCTCAATTGCACGAGTGAGTGAGTGATTGGGTGAGTGTGGGTGGGTGATTGAGTGAGTGGGCGAGTGGGTGGGTGCGTGAGTGAGTGGGTGGGTGGATGGATGAGTGAGTAGGTGAGTGGTTGGGTGGGAAAGTGAGTGGGTGAGTGGGTGGGTGGGTGGATGGATGAGTGAGTGGGTTAGTGAGTGGGTGGGTGGATGAATGAGTGAGTAGGTGAGTGGTTGGGTGAGAGAGAGTGAGTGAGTGGGTGGGTGGATGAGTAGGTGAGTGGTTGGGTGGGAGAGAGTGAGTGGGTGGGTAAATGGATGAGTAGGTGAGTGGTTGGGTGGGAGAGAGTGAGTGGGTGGGTAAATGGATGAGTGAGTGGGTGGGTGGGCGGGTGGGTGGATGAGTGAGTGGGTTAGTGAGTGGGTGGGTGGATGAATGAGTGAGTAGGTGAGTGGTTGGGTGAGAGAGAGTGAGTGAGTGGGTGGGTGGATGAGTAGGTGAGTGGTTGGGTGGGAGAGAGTGAGTGGGTGGGTAAATGGATGAGTGGGTGGGTGGGCGGGTGGGTGGTGAGTTCAAGTTGATAGGTTAACCAGGTGATAACGCAGAGAGACAAGTTTAAGTCTCATTTGCAACAGTAACCTAGGTCGCCGAAATGACGAAAGCACCCTCCACACTCGCCTGACGACTGCAAAACGTGCCCCACCACGTGACGCACAGAGCCTACGTGGCCGAGCGGGGTGCGTGAGCCACTCCGCGTCCTACCTAACGCAGCGTTCAACAGGAGATCACACGTCCGTTTCGGAGTGGCGCCTGGTTAAACTCAACCAACTTGGAAGAATCGACAGAGCCCGTACGACGACTGCGATGGCTGGGTTGTAACGGCGAGTGGCGGGGGGCAAGTGGGGGTTGGAGAATGCCGTGGTGGGGATCAGCAGGTCCTGTGGGGGGCAGCTGGGGGGCTGGTGGGCCTCACCTTGCGCAGCATGGCCACCACCTCCGTGTGCTTCTGCAGGTGCTGTAGGCTGAGCTGCAGCGAGTTCAGCTCATCCAAGTACTCGAGACACCGCTTGGTGTCCTGCACATGCACACACACACAGAGTGACTCCTTATAGCTCACACAGTCTGTTGGGGCAAGCGCTGTGAAGCGTAGGGGGCGATGTTTACACACCGCACCGTTTGAGGCCGAGTCGTTCTAGGGGAGGCCCAGAACCGGTTCAAATAATGGTCACTGGTGTTGGCTGCGAGCGGGAATCGCACTCGGCTCTCCGGGTGCATAACACAGCGCGCTAACCGTCAGCATTAGCCCTCCGCCTGAACGGGTGAGAGCCTGAACCAGGTGAGAGCCTGAATGAGCGCCTTAATGGGTGAGAGGCTGAACCAGGTAACGGCCTGAACCAGGTGAATGCCTGAATGAGAGCCTGAACTGATTAGAGCATGAACGGGTGGAGAGCCTGAACCAGGTAAGAGCCTGAACCAGGTGAGAGCCTGAACCAGGTCAGAGCCTGAACCAGGTGAGAGCCTGAACCAGGTCAGAGCCTGAACCAGGTGAGAGCCTGAACCGACAAGAGCTTTGAGCTGCTTCTTGAAGGAGCGCGCCGGTGTCTGGGATGCCACTGCCGGTGCAGCCACGGAGGCTCTCCGGCCCAGCCAGACCGGTTGTGCCCACGGCCGCGCGCTGGCTCCGTGATGGCAGCCCTGCGCTGTGGGAACGGCGCGACCAGCAACCCACGGGGATTTTTATTAATGGGGCCACCCCCCCCCAGCCGCTGCCCCCGGGTGTCCTCACCGGGCTGTTGAGCTTGAGAGCGAGCTTGATGTCGTTGACGAGCTTCTGCACCTTGGCGTCGGCTTGCAGCTCTGGGGAGACGCGACGGCGGCGGGCGTGAACGCGCGACAACACGTTGAACAGCTGCTCCAACACACGACCACAACCCTCCACTACAACAGCAAAATCCACAACCACCGCCAACAGCTACAACTTCCACTACATCCACAACCGGCACCACATCCACAACTACAACGTCCAGTACATTCACAACAACTCCATCCAGTATAACCATAAGCACCACAACATCCACCACAATCACCACTACATCCACAACCACCACTAACATCCACAACTACAACATCCACAACAACCACCAACATCCACAACCACCACCAACATCCACAACCACCACCAAATATCCACAACTATAACATCCACAACAACCACAACCACCACCAACATCCACAACCACCACCAACATCCACAACCAACATCCACAACCACCACCAACATCCACAACTATAACAACCACCACCAACATCCACAACTAAAACATCCACAACATCCACAACCAACACCAACATCAACAACAACTACAACGTCCACCACATCCACAACATCGACTGCTGGGATCTGGGCTTCGGATGAGTGGGTTCTGTCCAGGCACTCCGGTTTCCTTTCACATGGATAATTATTCATTAATTGGCCGATAACACCCTTCTCATATATATACAGGACTGCAGAGCTCGGAGTGAACTTTAGGCGCCGGCTGCTGCATTCCCCGCTCCTCAATGGTTCCTCTTCGAGCCTCCGAGTGGGCCGCTCTCTGCCTGAGAGCAGAGGTCGCAAACGGGTTTTGATTCCTTACCCGTACCCGGCCGCACCAGGGTCGCAAATGGATACCCGTACCCGGCCGTACCTGTATCCTATCTGTACCCGGCCGGGTTCGGGTAGGGTACAGGTATCGGGTACCCGATTGCGACCTCTGGGATGAAGCCATGTTGCAGGCGCGGCTGGGTTGATTCTAGGAACTTGAATTGCGAGAAGAGACAAGACGTTGGGAAATGAGTGACAAACGGTTACTCACCGGTGACTCACGGTATACCCGTACCCGTACCCGGCCGCACCAGGGTCGCAAACAGGTACCCGTACCCGGCCGGGTACGGGTAGCCGGGTATCGGGTAGGGTACGGGTATCGGGTACCCGGTTGCGACCTCTGCCCGAGAGCGAGCGGATGGTGGGTGGTGCCACCGCGCTGCGAGTCGATATGGCTTTATTTTTGTCGTTGTTACTGGAAGCGGATGGACTTGGCGAGAAAGGGGGAATTGCCGGAGCTTCGCGGCGAGCAGGGCGGTGCCGGTGCACGACGCCGACCGGCGAGCGTTGCCGGCGCGCGAGATAATTATCTACTCGACGGTCGCCGTGGTGGAACGGCAAGCGGAGCGGGCAAGGCGGCAGCCGCGCGACGGTGGTGAGCCAGCAGCAAATTTTTCCCCTCCGCATTTAAAATCGACGTCACGCGTTTAAGAGTATTTTGGCTGCTTTCAATTTCCGCGCGATCATGAGCCACTTTCTCATGAAGCTATCGGTTGTGAAAGCCGGGCCACTTCTGAAAAAGAGCCACGTAGTTCCAGTGGGCCCTTTCCTGGTAAAAATATAAAGTGTTTTTTTTTTCATTCTAGATTTGAAGTTTTCGTGACTGCAAGGACCCAAACTCTTTGGTTCTTTCGGTAAAGTCAGGTAGGTGAAAAAAAAAGTATAATAAAAATTAAATATATAAATAATTAGATTAATCACGACGTTTCGGAAGCAACACAAGCTTCCGTCATCATGTGGGACAACCACAGCAAAAAAACCCCACTACAGTAATTTTTAGTTTTTTACTGTGGTTGTCTCGCCTGATGACGGAAGCTTGTGTTGCTTCCGAAACATCGTGATTTAATTAGATTATTTCTATTTTTATTGTTATTTTTTATTTTTTATCACCTACGTGACTTTACCGAAATAACCAAAGAGTATCTTCTTGGTTCTCTCGGTAAAGTCACGTAGAAGGGAAATAATAAAATAATAAAAATAAAACATTATAAAATAATTCTCACGACGTTTCGGCCACAACGCAAGCAGCCGTCCTCAGTTGAAGACCAGGTCTGTCGGGGAGACAGCGTCTGAATGAAACACCACCACGCTTGGAGCGTATATTTAAGCTGGGTTGAAAGAACCAAGAAGATGAATCCCTGCAGTCACGAAAGCTTTAAATCGAAACCAAAGAGTATGTTTTCACACCATTGGAACCTCATTTGCAGGAAATAAAAATATGCTAAACAAAGGGTGTCAGTTTTGTTGCCAGATAAAAGGGTAAAAAACCAATTATCGAGTATGTTTTTGTTTCGTTGTCGCGTGTCACTCACCCGCCTTCTCGTCGTCCTGGGACGTCTGCTCCTCCGCGGATTCCTTCGCGTCGCTGTCAGTCAGCCTGCCGTCACCACCGCACATCAAAGACAAAGACCTATGGCAGAATGCTGAGGCAAGTGGTTTCAAGTCAGCACCTATTCAGGCTGACACGGCACACCAAGGGGTAGGTGGCCAGCACCAAGCCCGACCGGTTTTGTTTCCCCAGTGGCGATGTTTTGCACACCGCACCAGGTACTCATTTTTAAGGTTCGGTCAACCTAGGGGAGGCCCAGGACCAGTTCAAATATTAGTAACCATGTTGGCCGTGAGTGGGAATTTGAACTCGGGTAGCGGGGTTCACAGCGCAGTGTGCTAACAGCTGCACTACTGCTCACACCAGCGCACAAAAATACAAAGATCCCCTGTATAGCCTCAACAGATTGTAGGGGCAAGTGCTGTTCGCGAGCACCTATGAAGGCCGGAACGGGACACAAGGGGGTGGGTGGCTAGCACCACGGCCGACCGCCTTTGTCTCCCCAGTGGCAATGTTTACACACCGCACCAGGTACTCATTTGAGGCCGAGTCGACCTAGGGGAGGCCCAGGACCGGTTCAGATAATCATCACTGGTGTTGGCCGTGAGCGGGAATCGAACCCGGGTCGCCGGGTTTACGGCGTAGTGCACTAACCGCAACACTAACGCTCCCCACAAGTGCACACACACACGTGTACACGCACACTTACACGCGTACACATACATTTTCCACTTACATCACACACATACATCACTGCACCTGACCACACATGGGGAACACATCAAAAGGAACAGTGTCTACAAAACAGCCACAACTGACTCGTGGTAAAACAAAAACAACGGTCTTCACACACACACAGCAAATCAACACATGCAGGAGTAACTACTAACTACGCAAACAATGACAATGATTGCTGTGATGATGATGATGATAATGATGGTGATCATGCTGATGCCATTGATGATGCCGGCGATGATGGCGACGACAATGATGGCGATGATGGCGACCAGTTTCCCTGGTATCCCACCTGGCCTCCTTGGCCCGCTCCTCGGCCCTGCGGCCTTTCTTGGGCGGCTCCGGGTCTGGGTCCATCTCCACATGTTTGCGGCCGCCCTTCTCTGCGTGCTTCAGCTTTTCCGGTTTCTACGGCGGCACCAACGGCTCCAGTTAAAAGAGTTTCTAGAGCAGGTCAACCACCACCATCAGGATCAACACTACCAGGACAACCGACACAATCACCACCACGATCGCTGCCGCCGCCGCCACCACCACGACCGCCATCTTCATCACCACCGCCATCTTCATCACCGCCACCATCACCATCATTTACCAACATAACCACAAAATTCATCACCACCACCACGACTATTTTCAGCAAGGGGATGTTTGGCGAATACCAGATACACTGTAAGGTTTTTTGTTATAGCAACGACAAATTGGCACGTTCTGTTTACGTGACAACCCTTACTAGTTGGCTGTGTCGGGTGGTGGCGGGTTTAACGACACATTTAAATATATACCAGATCTAACCCAAAAAACCTCTATTATGGATGATATTGGTCGCGAAAGTCTCCTAAGTGTTAAACAGAACGCTCAAACTCCACAGAGAGGCGTCCGATTAAGGGAATCGAACCCGGGCCCCTTCTCCCTGTGAGACGCCATCGACCGTTCCCACCGCGACACTGCCCTGCCGCCCCCGCCCCCCAACCCGACTCACGGCGTCTGTGGTCTCCGAATCGGAGCCGCGCTTGCGCTTGCGGGCGCCGCCTGCCGCCGGGGCCTCGGCCTGCGGAGCCTTGTCTTTGCCACGCTCGACCTTGCGCTCCTTGCGGCGGGCCTGGCTCCCGTCGGCGTCGGCACCGCCGACGACGCTCCCTTCCTTGACGGCGTCGCCGTCGCCGCGGCCTGCCCTGCGCCGGCGCTCGCGGGCCACGCCGACCTCCACCGCCACCACCGCCTCCGCCTGCCTCCGGCGCCGGCGCTTCTCCGGAGGGGCCTCGTCGGCACCGCTCGGCTCACTGGTGATACCGACCGCAGAGACCATGCCCGCCGTGGTGAATACGGCAAGCGGTGAACTACAGCAACTAGAGCAAGCGCTGAACTACAGCAACTACAGCAAGCGCTGAACTACAGCAACTACAGCAAGCGGTGAACTACAGCAACTACAGCAAGCGCTGAACTACAGCAACTACAGCAAGCGGTGAACTACTGCAAACTACAGCAAGCGGTGAACTACAGCAACTACAACAACTACAGCAAGCGGTGAACTACAGCAACTACAGCAAGCGGTGAACTACAGCAACTACAGCAAGCGCTGAACTACAGCAACTACAGCAAGCGGTGAACTACTGCAAACTACAGCAAGCGGTGAACTACAGCAACTACAACAACTACAGCAAGCGCTGAACTACAGCAACTACAGCAAGCGGTGAACTACTGCAAACTACAGCAAGCGGTGAACTACAGCAACTACAACAACTACAGCAAGCGGTGAACTACAGCAACTACAGCAAGCGGTGAACTACAGCAACTACAGCAAGCGGTGAACTACAGCAACTACAGCAAGCGCTGAACTACAGCAACTACAGCAAGCGGTGAACTACTGCAAACTACAGCAAGCGGTGAACTACAGCAACTACAACAACTACAGCAAGCGGTGAACTACAGCAACTACAGCAAGCGCTGAACTACAGCAACTACAGCAACTACAGCAAGCGGTGAACTACAGCAAGCACCTCCCATTAGCACGGTTGGACACGTACGGTGCAAAAGAAGTTCAACGTATATACATATTCACAAGCGCTGAACAACAGCAAGCGCTGAACTACAGAAACTACAGCAAGTACTGAACTACAGAAAGCACAGAACTGAAACAACTACAGCAAGCGCTGAACTACAGCGCAGGTACTTGACCAGCGCTCTCTGATGGTGAGTGCCCCCGGGTCACCTGTTGGTCCCCGAGGGCTGCTTGGTTTTGTGAGGTTTCTTGGTCACGGCCTTCTGCACCTCCTCCTCCTCCTCCTCGACTGTGAACACGACAGACAGCGGCAGAGAGGTCACACGTCCACACACGGTCGCCGTTGTTGTTGCCGTCAGCCGTGTAACGTCCCACTGCTGGGGAACGGCGGTCCGCCCCATTGTTCTCACGTTCCCTCATTTGCTGAGGCTCACATTGAAAACCACAGTCACGTAAAGACCCACAGACTCACGTAAAGACCCACAGACACACACAGAGACCCACAGACTCGCACAGAGACCCACAGACTCACACAGAGACCCACAGACTCACACAGAGACCCACAGACTCACACAGAGACCCACAGACTCACACAGAGACCCACAGACTCGCACAGAGACCCACAGACTCGCACAGAGACCCACAGAGACCCACAGACTCGCAGAGACCCACAGACTCACACAAAGACCCACAAGCTAGCACAGAGACCCACAGACTCACACAGACACCCACAGACTCGCACAGAGACCCACAGACTCGCACAGAGACCCACAGACTCGCACAGAGACCCACAGACTCGCACAGAGACCCACAGACTCGCACAAAGACCCACAGACTCACACAGAGACCCACAGACTCGCACAGAGACCCACAGACTCACACAGACACCCACAAACTCCCATAGACACCCACAAACTCACACAAAGGCTCACAAAAGGAGAGAAAACACAGAAATCCATTGACTCGCCCACACTAAGAGACCCATACACGCAGAGACACAGATTAACAGAGGCCCATCCAATACAAGGTGGATTGAAATGGAGACTAAACACGACTGCATCTCACGATGCCGTGCAGAAGCAGTGCCCGTGTCAATTTTATAGAGGCGGCTTCACAAATTCACACGGACACCCGTGGGCTCTCAAGAGACCCACAGACTTGTGTTGTTGTTGTTATGGTTGTTGTTGCCAGCTGGTAACTTCCCACTGCTTGGCAAATGCCTCCCCTCCCCACCCCGTGTTGTTATCCTGCTACCCCCTGCTGTCCCCAGCTGCCCCCGAACTCCGTGACATCGAATCGCTGCCATTGGTTCCCCATCGCACAACTCCAACAGCGCAGCCACAACACGACGCACACACGCACAAAAAGACAAAGATCCCCCTCAAAGCCTTCACAGATTCTTGGGACAAGTGCTGTTAGCGAGCACCTACGAAGGCCGGCACAGCACACGAGGGGGTGGGTGGCCAGCACCATGCCCGACCGCCTTTGTCTCCCCAGTGGCGATGTTATCACACCTCACCGGGTACTCATTTGAGGCCGAGTCGACCTAGGGGAGGCCCAGGGCTGGTTAAGATAATCGTCACCGGTGTTGGCCATGAGTGGGAACCGAACTCGGGCCTCCGGGTTCGTAGCTCCGCACGCTAACTGCTACACCACCGCTCCCCACGCACGCACACACGTACACACACGTACACACACGTACACACACAAACCTTTTTTTTTCTTGGGGCCCTTCCTGGGAGGACTGGCTGTTGCTGCTGCTGCTGTTGCTGCTGTTGTTGTTGCTGCGTCCTCCGACCCCTGAAAAAAAATGCAGGCAGGGCGAGGGAGTCACAAGGGATCACGCGGGGCATAAACAAACACGCAGGTGGATAAATCAAAGCACCCGATTACGGTGCCACATTGCAGGAGCATTTGGATATCAGCACACGTGGCATTGGAAGCAAGGCCCGCTTGTGCTTAAATCCGAAGTCGTGTGGCTTGCATCAGAAGTTGCCCTTTGCCTCCCACCCTGCCCCTGCCAGTCTCATAATAATAGTGTAATGCGTGTCTGGCGAGGCACACACTGGGATAGGAGGCACCACACTTAATTCACTTGAACAGTAACAGCTACAACAAGGCTACTCGATACCCCAACGAGAGAGGGGAAGGATTCTTCATACCCGGAGCCTCAACACTCTCGGCTCCCGCTTCCACCGGCGTGACCATGCACCATCAGAACCCCACACCGACTGACCCACATGGTCCGAAGGCCCCGCATCCTCTTCCCTTCCCCGAGCGTGGCCCAGAGGTCGCAACCGGGTACCCGATACCCATACCCGATACCCGGCTACCCGTACCTGGCCGGGTACTGGTACGGGTAGCCGTTTGCGACCCTGGTGCGGCCGGGTACGGGTAGGCCGTGAGTCACTGGTGAGTAGCCGTTTGTCACTCATATCGGGTACGGTACGGGTACGGGTAGGGAACGGCTACCCGTACCCGGCCGGGTACGGGTACCCATTTGCGACCCTGGTGCAGCCGGGTACGGGTACGGGTAAGGAATCAAAACCCGTTTGCGACCTCTGGCGTGGCCCCCACCCCGCCTCTTGCCACGTCACTTCCCCTGACCCTCCCGATAGTACCCGAGCCAGCGTGACAGGCCCCTCGAGTCCCCATCGGCAGGTAAGTGCAGGTAAGGGAGCGAGTCTCCTCACAACAGTCACTACCCCAGGGACGCCATTTACGTCCCTACAATAGTAGCAATTGAGCAACTTGCGGTGCGATTTAAAACAAACCCGCGCTCTCCCTCCCCCGCCCCACAATGGGGGCCTGCCACTCTTTTTCGAATGACGTCACGGGAGAATCTTTAACGTCAGCTGTGAAGCGCACAAGACGGCGCAGCGGGTCTATGCTCCAATACACACGGAATACGCGGTATTAACCGGGGCGGCCGTGAGACTCAAGCAACGAAACCCTCTGCGGCAAACTCTTTGGTTTTTTCGGTAAAGTCACGTAGGTAAAAAATAAAATAAATGGAAAAACAACTAAATAAAATCACGACGTTTCGGGCGCAACACAAGCGTCCTTCTTCAGGTGGGGACAACGTAGCGAAAGCACAACCGCTGAAGTGCGTCTCGACACACTTGATTTAATTCAGTTGTTTTTCATTTATTTGTTTTTTACTTCCTCCTTGCCGATCTCGTCAAGGAGGATAAAGCATCATCCTCGCAGCGGCGGACTTTTGGCTAGCCATTGAACAAAAACGGTCGGTCACCGCATCGCGCGTTTTCAGATGCGCTTCCGCGGCAGTCTGGAACACTCTTCCTTTCGATATTAGGAATCCGCTGGAGCTCTGCACTTTTAAATCTACATCGAAAAATAATTTCTTGAGAATGGCTATGAAGGAGGCCGGTGCACTAAGAGGGTGGGTGGCCAGTAGGGCTGAACGATGAATCGATTTCAAATCGAAATCTGAAACAATGCGATTAGCAAATCGCAAAGGCTACGATTTTTTGCGATTTGAAAAGTCCTGTTACTTTCTTATTGGAATTGTTTTATTTTTTATTATAACTTTATTTAACTTAACAATTTTTCTATGTTTGATTGTTCTATTTCAATTAAAACATTTTCATAAATACATGTTGGAAGCAATTCACATCTTTCAAGTTCTCATCCTTGCATTAGAATATATAGAGCAGTTCATATTTTGATGGTATCATGTGGTAATGCTCCATCACATGTTTTACATTTATTACCAAGTGAATATTGAACTGAAGCTTGACTTCAAAAAATGTAATCGCAAAGGAAATCGCAATATCTGTCAGAAAAATCGTAATTAGATATTTCCCCCAGATCGTTTAGCCCAAGTGGCCAGCACCACGCCCGGCCGCCTTTGTCTCCCCGTCAGACAGACATCAAAGTCGGTCACTTGCATCACGGCGCTCTCAGATGCGCTTCTGCGGCCCGTCTGGAAGGCTCTTCCTTCGATATTAGGGAGCCCCTGTGGAGCTTTGCTGCACTTTGAAATCATCATCATCTAGATTGACAACCTCGTGTTTAGGTTGTTGTCCTTCCCCCGCACCTCCGCTCAGCACGGGTTGGCTACGTACGGTGCGAAGGAAGTCCAACATGCATACGTACAAACGTGTATCCGGAGTCGCCTGTTACTTGCCTTCCTTCTCGAGCGGGCATCTGCCGGCCACTCCTCGCCCTGGGCCCTCTTCCTCCGCTTCCTCTGCAGAGAGTCCTACACACAGAGATAAACTCCTGCTGAGCACCCCAAAGATTGCATCATGATGACAACAACGATCCTCCGTATAGCCTTGACAGACTGTCGGGGCAAGTGCTGTTAGCGAGCACCTACGAAAGCCGGAACGGCACACGAGGGGTGGGTGGCCAGCACCACGCCCTACTGCCTTTGTCTCCCCAGTGACGATGTTTACACACCGCACCAGGTACTCATTTCAGGCTGAGTCGACCTAGGCGAGGCCCAGGACCGGTTCAGATAATCGTCACTGGTGTTGGCCGTGAGCGGGAAACGAACCCGGGTGACCAGGTTCGTAGCGCAGCGCGCTAACCGCTACACTACCGCACGCACGCGCACACACACATAACGCATACCAACCGCAATTTAAAAAATCTGTCAACCACGAGACAAATGGAACCCCACCGCAACAGAAACCTTAACGTAATGCAGTTCTTGCTCGATTCTTATTTGTTTCAATCAACTGTACTCTGTTTGCTTTAGTAATTTTCGGTGAGACGGGTTCCCTCGTGCGAAGGAAACTCACCCTAGGTCTCTCAAGTTCTCAGCTGGTTCAACACAATCGCCCCGAAACTTGGATCTCTGTGCGTGAATGCAGCTCTCTGTGAGCGCACTGCTCCACGGGTGCGGTGCTGTGAGGGTGGTGGCTCTGTGTGAGGGTGTTGTGAGGGTGGTGCTATGAGGGTGGTGCTATGAGCGAGGGTGCTGTGAGGGTGGTCGCTCTGTGTGAGGGTGTTGTGAGGGTGGTGCTATGAGGGTGGTGCTATGAGCGAGGGTGCTGTGAGGGTGGTGGCTCTGTGTGAGGGTGTTGTGAGGGTGGTGCTATGAGGGTGGTGCTATGAGTGAGGGTGTTGTGAGGGTGGTGCTCTGTGTGAGGGTGGTGCTATGAGGGTGGTGCTCTGTGTGAGGGTGGTGTGAGGGTGGTGCTCTGTGTGAGGGTGATTCGAGGGTGGTGCTATGAGTGAGGGTGTTGTGAGGGTGGTGCAATGAGTGAGGGTGGTGCTATGAGGGTGGTGCTATGAGTGAGGGTGTTGTGAGGGTGGTGCTGTGTGAGGGTGGTGCTATGAGGGTGGTGCTCTGTGTGAGGGTGGTGTGAGGGTGGTGCTCTGTGTGAGGGTGGTGTCTCTGTGTGAGGGTGGTGGCTCTGTGTGAGGGTGCTGTGAGGGTGGTGCTCTGTGTGAGGGTGGTGCTGTGAGGGTGGTGCTATGAGTGAGGGTGTTGTGAGGGTGGTGCTCTGTGTGAGGGTGGTGCTCTGTGTGAGGGTGGTGCTCTGTGTGAGGGTGGTGCTATGAGGGTGGTGCTATGAGTGAGGGTGTTGTGAGGGTGGTGCTCTGTGTGAGGGTGGTGCTGTGAGGGTGGTGCTCTGTGTGAGGGTGGTGCTATGAGGGTGGTGCTATGAGTGAGGGTGTTGTGAGGGTGGTGCTATGAGTGAGGGTGGTGCTATGAGGGTGGTGCTCTGTGTGAGGGTGGTGTGAGGGTGGTGCTCTGTGTGAGGGTGATTCGAGGGTGGTGCTATGAGTGAGGGTGCTATGAGGGTGGTGCTATGAGGGTGGTGCTATGAGGGTGGTGCCATGAGGGAGGGTGTAACTCCGCCAGCGTGGAGCTCCGCGAATGTGGTGCCCTGCGAGTGCGGCGCTCGTACGGGCTGCGTGGGCGGCGTCGCTGGACGTTTGTCCTCGGTGACCTCTGACCCCGAGCCGCCCCCCGCCTCCACCTTGGCACCCGCTCCGGCCTTGTGCGCCGCTCGCCTCCCTACCGTCTGCAGAGCGACCACACAACGCAAAGCAGCGAACTTGAGCGTACAAAAACAATACAAATTAAACAGGCCCGAGACAAATCACAGAATGAGATGGTAATAACGAGAAATGTATAGTTGAATCAAAATCTTTGTTCATCCTGGAGGAATCCGATGAGCCGAAGCTCTTGTTCACAGATGTCCAGTATAGGCGGGAAGGTAAGCAAATCATTAAAAATCAATTAACTAAAAAAATGTTGTTTAACCAGGTAAAGCCCACTGAGCTATTAGTTATTTTTCAGAAGCGACCTGGCCACAAATGATAGCTCAACGAAGTGGCCTATCATGTGGACATTTATAGCAGATGATTCGTCAAAATAATAACTGCGACAGAAGTGATAATTCACAGTCCTTGCTCAATCCACTGCTGGATAAAGTCCTCCCCGTGTCTTTTGGTCGCGGAGGTTACGTGAGCAGACTGCACCCGGGCTAGCCAAAGCAGGTCGGCGAAAAGGTCAAGGTCTAGGCCGGTTATCGCTGGGCACGGATGTTGCGCTTCGACCAAGGGATCAAACCCAGATTCTCATAACGCGGTGGGGCCAACAACTTCACCCCCGCCACCACCCTCCCGCGGTCATCGACTCCGTTATAAACCCGTACGTTGCGTGAAACTTCGAGCGCGTGTCAAACCCGCGTACCGCGGCTTGCGTGCTCCGCTTGCGCCGTGCGCCCGGCCTGCCCTCGTCAATCACGAGCCTCCCCTCCTCCTCCTCCTCGTCCACCTCCACCTCCTTCTCCTCGTCGGTGCTGCTGCCCTCTTTGTTTTCCTTCTTGGTTTCCTCCATGGCACCGCGGGCCGCGTCCGCAGAGTCCTTCCGCACACGAGGGTGTACGCATTCACCATCGACTCGCAAAGGGACCCGCAGGCTCAAGAGAGACACACTCACAGCGGTGCATACAATACAAGGAAGGCTTTACATGGAGTAGAAGTACGATTGCTTCCCATGATGCTGTACCGAAGGAGTGCGGGTGTTTACTTTAAAAAGGCGGCTTCACCGACCCGCACAGACTGGTGTGGCGAAGTACGGTCAAACATCTCCCACACGACCTGCACAGGCATTTTTGGGGCAGCAGGGTGTGAGGTTCTCATCCAGCAGTGGAACGACAAGAGTGCCCCAGTGGCGAGATGTTATCTGCTTCGCCTGGTATGCAGGAGGTCGTTGTTTCGATCCCGACCCTGACGACTGTATATTTGGAGTTTGCGTGTCTCTCTCCCCGTGGTCGCGTGGATTTTTCTTCGGGTCCTCTGGTTTTTCCCCTCCACATTTAGAATCAACATCACGCGTTTAGAGTATTTGGCTGCTATAAATCTCCACGCAATGAGCCACTTCATTGGGTTACCATTTGTGGCCTGGTCGCTTCTGAATAAGAGCTACATAGCTCAGTTGGCCTTACCTGGTAAAATAATAAAACAGGAGATCATCGATTATCCGGCGGCTTCGGGGGGAGGGGGAGCCAAATTTAAAAAAATGCCGGATAAGCACATCTTATTTATACATTTTATTTTTGCACATTCTTGTATGAATCATGTTTGTTGGTGTTGTTAAATGTTTTTCTGTGTTTAAAATTTGCTAGCTATATAAAAGTGGCAAATAGACTAAAATAAATATCCTGTAAAAAGTTCCTGTATTTACTGTACCGTACTTGCCACTCCAATCTCGAAGACTCTGCATGGGGTGCTGTATCAATAGACACACGTGCAGTATTTTCATTGTTAAAGTTTAATGTAGTGTATAATGTACTGTATATCTTTTAGACTGAATTCAAGAATACCTACTTGTTTTGTTCACGCGCGTGGTGCCGATCGCCAGACTGGTTACAGCCTTCGAAGCGGTTTTGCCGGATCGGCCCGGGACTGCCGGATAATGTTGCAAGCTGGATAATCGCGTGCCTGATAACCAATGATCAACTGTAGTTGAGCTTTAAAGGAGCGTACACGTCACACGTCGAAATGAGAGATGAGGCCGTCAACCCCTCGCGCCCCTAACCTGTGGCGCGTGGGTCCTGAACTGCACCATGGGATTATTCTCGATCTCCCACAGGCCCTCGTTGAAGCCCTTGCGCTTGCAGGGCACCGCGTACTTGAGCTTGTGCTTGCGGTACGGGAACACGTCCTTGCTGCACAGGAAGCCCCTGAGCTCATCGCACATGTGAGGTGGGGTCGGGTAGGGGGGAGCATCAATCCATCAATCCACAAATTAACCACAATACCTTGCTGAGCTCATCAAGGAGAATCAACCATCATGTCCAACTCCGGTCATCCTCCCAGGGAGCTTTTGGCTCGCCATCGAATAAAGACGGTGGTTACCGCATCGCGCGCTTTCAGATGCGCTTTGAGATGCGCTTCTGCGACCGTCTGGAACGCTCTTCCTTCCGGTATTAGGCAGCCACTGTAGCCATGCACTTTTCAATCTAAATTCAGAACAAATTTTGGATCTCATCTTAACCGAATTTATAAGCGCCTTCACTAAGGCACTTTACGAAAAAATTATGTATGAGTGTGATGGTGGAGATGAGGTGAATGAAAAAGTTTAGAGAGGAAGCAATGGCAAATCTGTGATGTGTGAATTCGGTGAAAGCACAATTGATGACAGTAAATGATGACGAATGGATTGAAGTGATCGCCGTAAAATGAGAATATGAAGAGGGAAAAGTAACGGTGGCGGTTACGAGGGGGAGATTAAGGGGTCGTGGGGTGAGCTAGGGGTAACAATAAGTGAGTTTCGAGTGAGGAGCGGAAACTAAGTGAGCGAAGGTGACTCTTTAATGTAGAGTGGGAAGTTTGTTCCAGTTAAGGGGGGTGAGAAGAGAGAAAGAGCGAAAGCATGGACTGAGCGCAAGGAGGAGGAACAGAGAGACAGGCAGCAAAGACTGTGAACGTAGCGGGCGGGAAGGCGACACAGACACAAGAGTGGCAAGATATGGTTGGGGGCAAGGCCATGAAGGGATTTGTCGACTAGCATGAGGAATTTGAACAGGCAACGGCGGTACACGGACAGCCACTTCGGTTGCGCGAGGAGGGTCGAGGGGTATGCGAATTACAACTTCTCGTTTGTGTTTAGTTTGTTGTCACCCCCGCCCGCACCTGCGTTGGCTACGTACGGTGCGAAAGAAGTTCAACATACAGTACATGCAATCACACAACCTCCCTCCCTCCCCTGTCCTGCTTTGACCCTCTTGACATTCCGGGGAATTGGCATCCGTGTTCAGGGGTTGGCAGGCATTGATTTGTGACCCGAGATCTGGTACCAGTATTATGTTGAACTGCCGTTACGGTGTTCTGCGCCCTTTTGATAACTCACCCGTGTGCCGACTTGTAAAATATGTCTACAGTGGAAAAATGTGGGTGACCCCCCCCTCCCCAACCCGCTTCTGTCAACAACGCAAGCGTAACGAAGCTCATCCGTGCGCAACAGGCCAGAGGGGGTTCAAACCGGGGAACCCATCAGCTCAGGTGTATACGAACACAGCACACGTCGCGATACACAAGGGGACAGAGAGACCACTCACTTCGCCATGCATCCACGGTTCGGGGTAGGTATTTGGTGCTGACTTTTACAGCTTTCAGGGATAGGGCTGAGCCAGCAGGAGCTGTACTAACATCGGCGCCAACACCAGGGTTGCGTGTCCACTGGACGTGCTATGCAAAGTTCCCCCGGCCGCTATCACCTTTAACAGCGGTTAGCGAACAGCACCCATGAAGGCCGGAACGTCGGACAAATGGGGTTGTGACCAACATCACCCTCGGCCGCCTTCCATCTCCCCAGTGCCGATGTTCACAGCACACCGAACCAGGGTACTCGTTTAAGGCCGAGTCGACCTAGAGGAGGGCCAGCTACCGATTCATGAATCCGGCTCGCGAGAAATCGAAACTGGGCCCCGCTTGGGTTCACTTGCAACAGCCGCCAAGCGGCGAGTGACGTCCCCACGGCGCTTGTGCCAGGCTAGGTGCACCTTGAGGCCACTCGACACACACACACACGCACGTACGTCTCGTGAGTGCCGAAGAAGAAGATGGGGAGCTTGTGAGTCGGCGCCTTGCCCGCGCCCTCCGGAAGATGGTTTACCTGCAACCACCACAAAACCACCACGCACAGTCTCTCTATCCACTGCTGGGCAAGCCGAATTCAAATAAAACACCGCACAAACCCTTCCCCCCCACTACCACCACCACTACCACCCAACCCACCCCGCACAGCAATGCAAACAAAGCGGTGAGTGCGCGAAGGGCGAGAGACGGAACAATAGAGGCGAGCCAGGCCATAGCCACTACCGCCGCCTCGCCTACTCCTCCCCGGCGATACGACCGCTTGTCCCGGGATGATGATGGGGGGGGATGGGGATGGGCGCCTTACACGGAGCCGGGCCCGAGACCCGGTGCAGCCACTTTAGTCGGGGACCCACGAGCCGTGGAGATGGACGGGGAGAGGAGGAGGAGGAGGTGAGGGATACAAAAAATCTGTGGTGGGCGAGGAGGAGGAGGTTGCAACAGCAGCAGCAGCAGCGGAGGCGGCGGTGGTGTGGGTGGTAGGCGGGGCCGCCTCGGGTGCGGGGTCAGAAGTCAGCGGCTCGGGGTGGGGGTGGTGGTGGATCGGGGGGGGGGGGTGGTGGAGGGGGAGGGGTGGAGGGGAGTGGAGGGGGGGTGGTGGAGGGGGGGTGGAGGGGGGGTGGTGGAGGGGGGGGGGGTGGAGGGGGGGGTGGAGGGGGGGGTGGAGGGGGAGTGGAGGGGGGGTGGTGGAGGGGGTGGAGGGGGGGTGGTGGAGGGGGGGGTGGAGGGGGGGGGGGTGGAGGGGGGGGTGGAGGGGGGGGGGTGGAGGGGGGGTGGTGGAGGGGGGGGTGGAGGGGGGGTGGTGGAGGGGTGGTGGAGGGGGGGGTGGAGGGGGGTGGTGGAGGGGGGGGTGGAGGGGGGGTGGATCGGGGTGGTGGATCGGGGTGGTGGATCGGGGTGGTGGATCGGGGGGGGTGGATCGAAGGGGGTGTCTCAACAACAAGGACGACGACGAAGCCACACTCCAGCCACCTGTTTATCCTAATACAGTACATGACTATACTGTATTAGGATAAACATGACAGTACTGTATTAGGAATGACGCCCGACGTTTCGGCCCACGTACCAAAAATCTTCTTCAAGGTGAAAAAAAACCCAAGGCATACAACGGTAGCTTTGGGGGGGGCGAGAATTGAGCGACATTTGAAGCTCCCTGCTCAGAAAGGGTTAAGAAGACATTATCATCTTTCTGCCGAAACACCAACCACCCACACGCACAGAGGGCCTCGTTCCGAGTCAGTTCCCGAGAGAAGCTGTCCAGCACATGGAGGAGCGCGAACGCGAAGCGTCGGATAGAATCGGAACATTTCTGTATGCTGGAGAAATCCGATGACCTATAAAGCTCGTTTGGTTTTAACCGATGTCCCAAGTAGGGCGTAGTGGTTACAAGCACGCACTGAAGAGCTATTGGGAGCAAGGCGCATTTAACCATCATGTCAACAGGTGGACTTATCCACAAATCTGGCAGTCGCCTGATGAAGCTCGTTGTAATTACTGGCGAAACGTCGTACTCGGATTGTAAATGTTGTGGCTTGGCTCTCCAACACACAACCGGTTAGTGCTGTACTAGTAAACTGCACTATACACTACTATACACTACTATACACTACACTATACAATACTATACACTACACAATACACTAGTGCTGTACTAGTATAGTACACTATACACTACACTAGTGCTGTACTAGTATACTACACGATACACTACACAATACTATACACTACACTAGTGCTGTACTAGTACACTACACTACACATTAATGCTGTACTAGTGGCGAATTGGCAATGTTCCTTTTACGTGACAACCCTTACTCGTTGGCTGTGTCGGGTGGTGGCGGGTTTCACGACACACTTACATATTTACGCGATCTAACCCTACCCCCACCCCCAATTAAACCCTCTATTATGCATCACGTCAAACTCCAGTCATCCTCCCCGGAGGGGGGGATGGCGTTTTTTTGTCTCGCCATCCAAAAACAAAGACGTTCACCGCAGTTTTAAGTCGATCGAGAAGCCCCATAACGTGTCCGCTGCGAACGCTTTCGCTCGCGAGGTTAAACAGCCGTGACGCCGGCGAAACGTGCGAGACCAAGAGCGGCCGGCGCCCCTAAAAAAGGGGGGCGGGCGAGAAAAACAAAAACGCGTGCCCCACGGAAGGGGGAGACGTCTCGGCGAGGGAGACTCGAGTCGCGGACCAAAGGAGCATCATCCCACGCCGCTTAACACACCCGGGTCGCTTGGAAATATATCGGGTCCCGTGCACATTGCTCCATTGAACGGCTTCGTTCGGCACGGATCGACACCGGGTGGCACCACGAAGCTGATCTCATGGTCCCCCATCACCACCGCCACCGCTTTTCATTGCTGCGGCGAATTTGACCAAACGCACCCCGGTGTACACGTGAGCTGTTAACCCTAAGGCGGCCCAGAGGTTACCCTTCGGATAACTTGGGGACGATTACCCCACCACCAACACCTACGGTAACTCGACATTAACCCCTTCCCTGTCACAAGCGGCCACGACCAATCCACTGCTGGATGAAGGCCTCCGCCAGAGAGCGAAGGAGCTGCCCGGGGAAAGTCTGCCACGATTCTGCGGCGTTAACCATTCCCCAACCCCTAAGCACCTGCTGATTTCATCGCTCCGTCTCCCCGGTGGACGTGCCCGGCGATCAGTGACGCCGTGAAGGTTGGGTTCAGCGAGCCGGCGGCCTGGCGCAGGCTTCCCGCACAAAATCTAGGAAACACGGGGGGGGGGGGGTGGTTCGCGGGGGGGTTCACTCCGGACCCAGCGGCGGTCTATGTCGACTGCGCAACTCAACGCAACTGACCCTGGCCGGCCAGTGCGGGTATCCCTTCATCTTGGCGAAGATGAGGTCCCCGGGTTTGTAGTCGGCGGCCGACATGGTGGAGCACGGGGACTTGGAAGTGGTTTCGAGAGTCGCCAAGTCTAAGTTGGGACCCCGGGTTGAGTCGCACGCAGACTCCGACTCCCACCCCCCCCCACGCCGCCCTCTCCTCCTCCTCCTCCGCCTCCTCCTCTGTCTCCACCACCACCACCGCCGATGCTGCAGAGAGCGCGAAACCTGACGCAGCTCTTGAAGAGATGATGTTGTTGTTGTTGTTGCTGCTGATGAAGAAGATGAAGATGTTGTTGTTGTTGCAGTTGGTGATGGTGCTTTGCGATGCCTGTGCAGATTTCGTTGACTCTGAAAGTGGCGATGGTATCGATGACGACGATGCTGTTGCTGATGGTGACAATGACAATGATGGTGGTGTTGTTGTTGATGTTGTTGTTGATGGGGACGCGAGGTGGTGCAGAGCCACGCGGGGACCCAGGTTTCGCGCCTCTCGGCCACGACCACTTATAGCGGCGGGGGGGGGGTGAGCAGGCGAAGTTGTCAAACTTATACAATAACCACGCGCTTAATTTATTTTTTAAAATGTAAAAGAGTAATACATTAAACTAAGTGCGCGGAATATTTGTTTTTTAATTGAGCGAGGAACTACGCGTACGTCTATCCGTGCGCGCCTGTGAATGGGTTCGTCCCGCGCCGGGTGGCAAAGGTGGTGGGGGGGCGCACGGCCACAGCTTCTGTATAAGCAACATTAAAGTGCGACTTTAAAAACAAAACCCGTTATTCACGCAGCGTGAAATAAAGTGATACGTCAACAACAACAAAACCCACTACGCACAACTCACAAGAACACCCCACTCCCTCCTCGAAAACATGCACAGAAACATATCTGCAATGTATCACTTTATTTTGACTTTGCACGATTGTACATCGGGGCTGTGGAGGAATTAAACAGCCACACTTGGCTGGTAATGGCTTCTGTTTATTCTCTCTGCACGCCAGTTTACCGTACGGCGGATTCCTGCATGAGGACGATCGTCCGAACCGTCTTTTCTCGGGTCATCTCGCCTGTAGCTGTGGTGCAAGGCTGACAATAGCGCACATCGTTGAAGATTGCTCGGTGCAAATTCACAAGCTGAATAAGACCCGATCTCAACTCTAGACATTGACCCTGAGACCCGGTCTCAACTCTAGACACTGACCCTGAGACCCGGTCTCTACTCTAGACACTGACCCTGAGACCCGGTCTCTACTGTAGACACTGACCCTGAGACCCGGTCTCTACTCTAGACACTGACCCTGAGACCCGGTCTCTACTCTAGACTCTGACCCTGAGACCCAGTCTCAACTCTAGACACTGACCCTGAGACCCGGTCTCTACTCTAGACACTGACCCTGAGACCCGGTCTCTACTATAGACACTGACCCTGGGACCCGGTCTCAACTCTAGACACTGACCCTGAGACCCGGTCTCAACTGTAGACTCTGACCCTGAGACCCGGTCTCTACTCTAGACTCTGACCCTGAGACCCGGTCTCTACTATAGACACTGACCCTGAGACCCGGTCTCAACTCTAGACATTGAGACCCTGAAACCCGGTCTCTACTCTAGACTCTGACCCTGAGACCCAGTCTCTACTCTAGACACTGACCCTGAGACCCAGTCTCTACTCTAGACACTGACCCTGAGACCCGGTCTCAACTCTAGACACTGACCCTGAGACCCGGTCTCTACTCTAGACTCTGACCCTGAGACCCAGTCTCTACTCTAGACACTGACCCTGAGACCCGGTCTCAACTCTAGATGCTGACCCTGAGACCCGGTCTCTACTCTAGACTCTGACCCTGAGACCCAGTCTCTACTCTAGACACTGACCCTGAGACCCGGTCTCTACTCTAGACCCTGACCCTGAGACCCGGTCTCAACTCTAGATGCTGACCCTGAGACCCGGTCTCTACTCTAGACTCTGACCCTGAGACCCGGTCTCTACTGTAGACACTGACCCTGAGACCCGGTCTCTACTCTAGACTCTGACCCTGAGACCCAGTCTCAACTCTAGACACTGACCCTGAGACCCGGTCTCTACTCTAGACTCTGACCCTGAGACCCGGTCTCTACTATAGACACTGACCCTGGGACCCGGTCTCAACTCTAGACACTGACCCTGAGACCCGGTCTCAACTCTAGACTCTGACCCTGAGACCCGGTCTCTACTCTAGACTCTGACCCTGAGACCCGGTCTCTACTCTAGACTCTGACCCTGAGACCCGGTCTCTACTCTAGACATTGACCCTGAGACCCGGTCTCTACTCTAGACTCTGACCCTGAGACCCGGTCTCTACTCTAGACTCTGACCCTGAGACCCGGTCTCTACTATAGACACTGACCCTGGGACCCGGTCTCAACTCTAGACACTGACCCTGAGACCCGGTCTCAACTCTAGACTCTGACCCTGAGACCCGGTCTCTACTCTAGACTCTGACCCTGAGACCCGGTCTCTACTATAGACACTGACCCTGAGACCCGGTCTCAACTCTAGACATTGAGACCCTGAAACCCGGTCTCTACTCTGGACACTGACCCTGAGACCCGGTCTCTACTCTTAACTCTGACCCTGAGACCCGGTCTCAACTGTAGACTCTGACCCTGAGACCCGGTCTCTACTCTAGACACTGACCCTGAGACCCGGTCTCAACTCTAGACACTGACCCTGAGACCCGGTCTCAACTCTAGACACTGACCCTGACACCCGGTCTCTACTATAGACACTGACCCTGAGACCCGGTCTCAACTCTAGACATTGAGACCCTGAAACCCGGTCTCTACTCTAGACACTGACCCTGAGACCCGGTCTCTACTCTAGACTCTGACCCTGAGACCCGGTCTCTACTATAGACACTGACCCTGAGACCCGGTCTCAACTCTAGACATTGAGACCCTGAAACCCGGTCTCTACTCTAGACTCTGATCCTGAGACCCAGTCTCTACTCTAGACACTGACCCTGAGACCCGGTCTCAACTCTAGATGCTGACCCTGAGACCCGGTCTCTACTCTAGACACTGACCCTGAGACCCAGTCTCTACTCTAGACACTGACCCTGAGACCCGGTCTCTACTCTAGACTCTGACCCTGAGACCCGGTCTCTACTCTAGACACTGACCCTGAGACCCGGTCTCAACTCTAGACACTGAGACCCTGAGACCCGGTCTCTACTCTAGACACTGACCCTGAGACCTGGTCTCTACTCTAGACACTGCCCTCAGACCCGGTCTCCACTCTAGACTCTGAGACCCTGAGACCCTGTCTCAACTCTAGACTCTGACCCTGAGACCCGGTCTCTACTCTAGACTCTGACCCTGAAACCCGGTCTCAACTCTAGACTCTGACCCTGAGACCCGGTCTCTACTCTTAACTCTGACCCTGAGACCCGGTCTCAACTGTAGACTCTGACCCTGAGACCCGGTCTCTACTCTAGACACTGACCCTGAGACCCAGTCTCTACTCTAGACACTGACCCTGAGACCCGGTCTCAACTCTAGACTCTGACCCTGAGACCCGGTCTCTACTCTAGACGCTGACCCTGAGACCCGGTCTCTACTCTAGACACTGACCCTGAGACCCGGTCTCTACTCTAGACACTGACCCTGAGACCCGGTCTCTACTCTAGACTCTGACCCTGAGACCCGGTCTCAACTCTAGACTCTGACCCTGAGACCCGGTCTCTACTCTAGACGCTGACCCTGAGACCCGGTCTCTACTCTAGACTCTGACCCTGAGACCCGGTCTCTACTCTAGACACTGACCCTGAGACCCGGTCTCTACTCTAGACTCTGACCCTGAGACCCGGTCTCAACTCTAGACACTGACCCTGAGACCCGGTCTCTACTCTAGACACTGAACCTGAGACCCGGTCTCTACTCTAGACTCTGACCCTGAGACCCGGTCTCTACTCTAGACACTGACCCTGAGACCCGGTCTCTACTCTAGACTCTGACTCTGAGACCCGGTCTCAACTCTAGACACTGACCCTCAGACCCGGTCTCTACTCTAGACACTGACCCTGAGACCTGGTCTCTACTCTAGACACTGCCCTCAGACCCGGTCTCCACTCTAGACTCTGAGACCCTGAGACCCGGTCTCAACTCTAGACTCTGACCCTGAGACCCGGTCTCTACTCTAGACTCTGACCCTGAGACCCGGTCTCTACTCTAGACTCTGACCCTGAGACCCGGTCTCTACTCTAGACTCTGACCCTGAGACCCGGTCTCTACTCTAGACTCTGATCCTGAGACCCGGTCTCTACTCTAGACTCTGACCCTGAGACCCGGTCTCTACTCTAGACTCTGACCCTGAGACCCAGTCTCTACTCTAGACACTGAGACCCTGAGACCCGGTCTCTACTCTAGACACAGAACCTGAGACCCGGTCTCTACTCTAGACTCTGACTCTGAGACCCGGTCTCTACTCTAGACTCTGACCCTGAGACCCAGTCTCTACTCTAGACACTGAGACCCTGAGACCCGGTCTCTACTCTAGACACAGAACCTGAGACCTGGTCTCTACTCTAGACACTGAGACCCTGAGACCTGATCTCTACTCTAGACACTGAACCTGAGACCCGGTCTCAAATCTAGACATTGACCCTGAAACCCGGTCTCTACTCTAGACTCTGACCCTGAGACCCGGTCTCAACTCTAGACTCTGACCCTGAGACCCGGTCTCTACTCTAGACTCTGACCCTGAGACCCGGTCTCTACTCTAGACTCTGACCCTGAGACCCGGTCTCTACTCTAGACACTGAGACCCTGAGACCTGATCTCTACTCTAGACACTGAACCTGAGACCCGGTCTCAAATCTAGACATTGACCCTGAAACCCGGTCTCTACTCTAGACTCTGACCCTGAGACCCGGTCTCAACTCTAGACTCTGACCCTGAGACCCGGTCTACTCTAGACTCTGACCCTGAGACCCGGTCTCTACTCTAGACTCTGACCCTGAGACCCGGTCTCTACTCTAGACTCTGACCCTGAGACCCGGTCTCTACTCTAGACTCTGACCCTGAGACCCAGTCTCTACTCTAGACTCTGAGACCCTGAGACCCGGTCTCTACTCTAGACACAGAACCTGAGACCCGGTCTCTA